GGCCCGCCCCGCCTCGGCCCGCCGGGGCAACCGCTGCCCACCGCCCCAGCCCCGGCCCGGCCTGGCCCGGCCCGGCCCGGCGTGGTCGGGAAGGAGGCCGGGCGCCGACGTATTTCGCCCGTGGAGAGCCAGGGGGGACGCTGAAGCCCGGCGTCGCAGAGGAGGGGCGCCTTCAAGTGCTGCCAGGGCTCTCTGGGGAGCCAGATGGCAGCGAGAAGGGCGAGTGGGACCGGGAGGTTTCTTCCTCCCGAGGAAGACAGGCTTGAGAACGTCTGTGGATCCTGTAAGTCTCTAGATGCCCCTACCCCCGCCCTCTGCCCAACACAGTAGCCACTGGCCGCATGAGGCTGTGGAGCCCTGAAACAAACGCGCTAGGCCTGATTGAGATGTGCCGAAGGTCAAGTACACCTCGGATTCTGAAGACTTAGTACACAAAGAAAATGTAAAATAGCTCTCTGATGATGTTTGATGTTGATTACCTGTTGAAATCGTAATATATTAGATATATTGGGTTAAACGGACTAGATTATTAAAATTAATTTCCCTTGTTGCTTGTTCCTTTAAGTGGATACACCACTGGTGCAGAGGTTCTGCAGAGGAAGCCACAACTGGCCCGGTTGCCCTTCTAGCAGCACCAAGGAAAGAAACAGAAGATGGGTCTCCCATGTTGAGGCGCCCCCTACCAGGGCAAGGTGAGCCCAAGAATTACACAGGCAGAACCCTCAACAAGAGCAGGGTTTCCTGGAACGTCTGGAGCAGCAACTCTTGACAGTTTAAAGCCCATTTTCCCTACCACCTCCACCTCCAACCCTCAGGAATGGAAAGATCTTTCTGAGAAGAGGGCTGATATCTGTTCAAAATGTATTTCTGCTGACCACTGACATCTGATGAGAGGGTGAGGGGTAGCCTCTATCACAAAGCTGTAGGACCTAGAGCTGGGGGGAGGGGGTCTTGGGGCTTCACCGCACTAGCCCTGCCTTTTGGGCTCCATTTACCAGTCAGGCTGAGGCCCAGGAGACAACGACCTGTCCAGAGATGGCTGTGTACCCTGGAGTGGAGCCTGGAGTCCAGGCTAAGTCACGAGGGGGGGTGGGGGGGGCAGGGTTCTGCCCAGCCCATCCAGAGCTGGCATTTGGATCTCAGTTCTCTGACAACTGCTTGGGAAAAAGAGACCTTTTAAAATAGTCCATCTGCAAATGGGCCCCTGTGAGGAGCCCTATGGGAAAGAAGAGGAAGCTTTCAGGCCAGAATGTGTAAGAACAAAGGGAAGAAACAAGCCTGTTGTGTACAGAGAGGCCACCTGGAGAGGTGGAGACCTGAGTCCAGTCCTGCACTGTGTTTTTCTGGGCCAGCTTCCTCATAGGTAAGGGAAGCAGCTGAATGGATTAAATCAGCTTTCCCCAAGAAACTCTGAGATATAGTGAAAGTGCATCAGGAATTCATAACCTTTCATTTGGCTTCACTTTAAAAATTTTGTCTTAGAACTTCTAATAAATGTTAGCGGAAACATGTGTTATATGCCAAAAGTGTTGGAGCCCACTGATGTACAGTTGACCCTTGAATAACATGGGTTTGAACCGTACAGGTCTGCTTATACATGCATTTTTTTAGATACAGTGCAACACTCTATCTGTAATTTCTCATCCTTAAGATTTTTTCTTTTTAAAAAAAATTTTAAAAGGTTTTTTATGTGTGTTTTTGTTTTTTGTTTTAATGTTTATTATTTTTGAGAGAGAGAGAGAGCACACGTGGGGGAAAGGAAGAGAGAGAGAGGGAGACACAGTATCCAAAGCAGGCTCCAGATTCTGAGCTGTCAGCACAGAGCCCGACACGGGGCTCAAACCCACAGACTGTGAGATCATGACCTGAGCCGAAGTCGGACGCTTAACTGACTGAACCACCCAGGTGCCCTTATTTTTTTGGTGTGTGTGTGTGTGTATGTGTTTGTAATCTCTGCACCCAATGTGGGGCTAAAACTCACAATCCCAAGATCAAGAGTTGCATGCTCTTTTGACCAAGACAGCCAAGTACTCCTCTCCCTTGTGATTTTCTTAATATTTTCTTTTCTCTAGCTTACTTTACTCTAAGGATACAGTATATAGTGCATATAACATACAAAACATGTGTTCATTAACTGTTTTATGTTAGTAAGCCTTCTGGTCAACAGGCTATTAGCAGTTAGATTTGGGGGCAGTAAGAAGTTGTATGTGGATCTTCGACTGCACGGAGGAGTCAGCACCCCTAACCTGCATGCTGTTCAAGGGTCAACTGTAGTTAAAGTCTGACAGATTAGCTCACTGGGGAGAAGACCTTTGAATAAAGCCTTTCCTCCTGTCAGTTTAAATGAGGGTGGAAGGCTATTGGAAGGTGAATAGTTTTAAATGTGCAAGTCACTTAAGCCCTGATTCAAGAAGAGGGGGCATGGACACTGCCACTCGATGGGAGGAATGAGAATGGATTTGTGTGCATTTTTAAACCACCACAATTTTGTAACTACTTATCTGTATGAATCAGGATTTTCCTGATACTATGCAGCCAAATGCAACAAAAAAGGGCAACTGTCATATACAAATCTCAAAAATTTTTATTCATCAGAGCTTCTTTGTTCTCACTCATTTTTATAATTAACTATAAAATTCAATTTATAAATGTATTCCAATTACTAATAATAAGATGTAATTTTTATTTTTTAATGTTTTTATTTAATTTTGAGAGAGTGTGAGCAGGGGAGGGGCAGAGAGAGAGGGGAAAAGAGGATCCGAAGCAGGCTCTGCACTGACAGCAGAGCATGATGCAGAGCTCAAACCCACGAACCGTGATACCATGACCTGAGCCAAAGCCAGAGGCTTAACTGACTAAGCCACCCAGGTGCCCCCAAGATACACTTTTTGAAAAAAGTTTTGCAAACTGCTAAGTAATCATGAAGATTTTGTATCTGTTCATGTGCATGTGCCTGTTCATGTGCATGTGCATGTGTGTGTGTGTGTTGCAGGAAGAGGCACTGAGAGATTCTTCTAAGGTTTTGTTTTAGGGACCCACCTCCACTTCAGGTCTCCAAATCTCAGGAACTTAAAATCCTTTAGGTGTTAGCATGCAGTCTGCCCCACCAAAAGCATTTCCCAGTGAACTGTGATCAAACACTGCCTCAGCATCCCTTGGTGCTCAACACCCTGGGAGTTCCGTGGCCCTGAGGATGCTGGCCTTGTCACCGCTGAATCTCTAATGCTGGAACAGGGTAAGCCCTCCAAACATTGGTTGAACACCTAAAACTGGGTACTGGCGTTGGAGACTATTCTCTCTACGCCTCCTAGTCGGCCCTCCTTGCTACCCCTTGAGAGGGAACTACGTTGGGGAAAGTCCTGGGTTAACAGTGATGAAACTTGGATGTCTGTCTCCATTCTCCACTCATTCACTTACACGTACCTTCAGGCTTCGGCTGAACTCTTCTACAATTTTCTCATTGCCTAAAAGGATTAAAATGATCTATGCTGTTACCTCGCAGGTTGTTGAAAGGATAAAACCATGTTGTAGACGTATCAGCTTAAAATAATCGTCTGCATTGGAGGGATTCTTATCCCCTTTGTTTTTGTTTCAGCCAAAGGGGATAGAAACTCGTCTCAGGGGTAGCAGACTGGAATCAGGTTCCAGCTCTTAGGTTCACACTCCAGCTCATCTAGTCCTTCTGACTGCGCGCCTCTTTATGCACCCACATCTGGGTTCTGTTCTGGCCAGGTGAGCCCAGCCCCTCCCTTCAAGCACCCACACCTGAAGTTCTTCTGATCTTCCAACCTTCACCCCCTCCACCCACCTCCACACTCCGGTTCCCTGTCTACCCCCCCACCCCCCACCGGAGGCCTTGCTAGGTCAACCAAGACCATGTGACCCACCTCCTCCCTCAGCCTCCACTTAACCAGCCTTCCGCTAGATCTCACCCAGCATTTCTCCACTGATTGGTTTTCCCCGCCTGCTCTTCACAAGTCAGCTCACCGCCTACTCCTACACCATTGAACTTCTCTGTGTGTTTGGCCTCCCCATTGAACAGTGAGTATCTTAGGCCCCAGAGGGTGCATTCACGTCAGGTGTTGATGAGCTTGACTGCCAACGTGAGTATATAGGGCCTCAGCAGAGGACAGACAAGCTTTCCTCCCAGCTGGCTCCTATATCAGGCTCCACAGTGTGACTTTCTGCCCTTCCTCCACACCACCATCACACAGCCCAGAAGAGGAGGCAGATGGGACCCTGCTATGCTAGCTCCTGCTTTTGAGGGCAGTGTGTGTGCTGTCCCCACCTCTTCCGACCCTACGTGCTCCCCATTTGAACCCTCACTCCCATGGATTTCCTCATCCTGGTGTCACCTCTCCCTCCTTCCCAGATCTGGTGACTCAGAAAGAACAAATAGATTTGGGGGCCCAGTGCAACCTTTTAATTCCAAGCAGAGTCCCCCTCCCACAGCATTATCACACACACACACAGTGGAAAGGGATGCCAGAGTCTGGGCAGGTACCAAACCCAGCCCCAGGCAAAAATATATATATAATTATATACACATATGTTTCTGTAGAGAAGAAAAGCTGGGAGTGTGATTAAAGTAGGGCAGAGAGTTAGGAGAGAAAGCAGCTGGGGGGGTGCCCCAATAAATTACATTCTTTAGACAGCGTGGTGGGGGATGCGTGGGAATGGACGGGACCTGCTAGCCAGGACACTCAGCCTGGCCTCTTGATCCCATCCAAGGAGCCTGAAGGCCTGGGTTCTGCCCGGGACCTGGGTGCTAGAAGTCTAGCGGACTTTGCCTGCAGGCTGACAGCGGGCTGAGGTTCTGCAACATCTCCACTCTAAGCCAAGGCTTCTGGGGAAGCCACAGGGCTGGAGCAAGAGGCTCTGAAGCTTAGGGGTCACAAGGAGAGGACAAGGTGAGCTGGAGGGCAGGGTGGCCTCCTTGTTAGAGGCTGAGTTCAAGCCTGCTCCTGCTAAGAGTCAGAGAAGCCAGAGGCCCAGGTGTAGGGGAAGCTGTCCAAGGTGAGGTGAGGAGGCGTGCTTGGGTGCACACAGCATCCTGGGGCTCTCCCTGCCTGCCTGGCTGCTTCCCACCCTCACCTGCCTCCTAGCAGGTCCGAGGGTCCTACCCACCCATTTGGTCAAGACAGCCAACATGCCTGACCACTAATGCTGCGTTTCTCCTCACTCTCTTGTGGGGACCTTCATGTGGGGTTGGGGTGGGGAGAGGGTGCAAACATTAACTCTGTGTGTGCTGGAGTCCAGACTGGGTTTGCCCTGTGCAGTGAGGACCAGGGATGAGGGAAGGAGGCCCCCCCTAGCTCATTATGGGGAAGCAAGTTCATGTCCTACAACCCCAGCACTGCAGAGGTCTTGGTTCCTCCTCACCTGGGGAATGGAGCCAACCCTACCTCCACCCCACCTCCCTGCTCCCCCAAGGGATGATGCTTTGGGGTCTAGTGACCCAGCTCCAGAGCCCTGAAGCAGCAGGGGACAGGGTCAGTCAAGGAGTGGGAGGGGTGGTCAGAAGAGAGAGGCCTTTTTCTTGAGTTCATTCCTCTTCCACAGGGCCAGCTTGCTAAACTCTTCAGGAGACATGGAAAATACTCTTGAGAAGTCCTCCGCAGACAGATGCCTCTGTAGAGGGGACACGCAGGGGCAGCTTAGGAACAGGGGTGCAGGGTGGGGCTGGCCAAATGACTAAGGGAGCACTCAAAGAGGCCCCCGGTTCTCCCCATCAGGCAGGGGAAGGCACCCCATCAGTGGCACCTAAGCCCACCCCACACATTTCCTCCGCATACCTCAAGCCTCATCCGATCCACACCTGGAGGCAGTTTGGTTCTCCCCTTATTGGTCACCACCAGCATTTCGTAGGGATAGATCTGGGCAGGGAGGGGAAGGGGCAGTCTTAGGCTCGTAGAGTTTCCTGTCAGTGTAACCCTTTAATTCCCTGGGCCCCTTATCAGCCTGTAGGGGCCCTCAGGGCTCATGCCATTTTTGCCAGCCATGTCCCCCAACTTCCCTGCTGCCCCTCCCATCATCGACCCCTTAGTGCATTCACTTCCCTGGCTTCTCCCCCCGGCTGGCTGGCCCACCCCCACTGTAGATGGTTCTGTCCCCGGCCCACCACCCCTGACTCTGCCCCTGCCCCTCACCTTCTGCTCCAGCACACAGGGCAGGGAGTTCCCCCGGTCCATCCTCCCCCTCTGGCCCTCTCCGTTCTGGGGAGACCAAAGCCGCAGTGAGCCAGAGTGGGGCAGGGAGACCTCCCCAGCCTTACCCTGGGCTTCTCGAGTCCTTACCAGGCCTCTGTGGCCCCACACCCCCCTCCCCCAATGCTGCCTGTCACTCATCCATGGCTTCTGCTGCTCCATGTGTTCCCCTCCAGGAGGCACTCACCTGCAGGCCTGTGGGAGAGAAGAGTCATTGTCTGGAGGTAGCTGAAAGGTCAGCAGGCCTCCAAGCCTGCCAGCTCAGCCTCCCCAACCTCCAGCCACAGCCCAGCCCACATCACAGACGCGGGGCTGCCCTGGGGCCTGCTGAGGCCCCTTTCTTTCCCTGCTCGCCTGGTATTGGATGGCCCTGCCTCTCACCTGGGCTTCCAGTCTCACTCCCAGAGGGGCTGAAGTCTGTGGACTGTAGCTAGAAAGGACATGAAGGGATCAGAAGGAAGCTAGAGGATTCCACACTGTTCCCCCTCACTTTAAGGGTCTCCTGTGCCCTCAGGATGCCCAAGTAGCTCAGTCCCTCAGAGGTGCCCAAAGACACACTCTTCCCTGGCAGGCGCTGATCTCTGGTCTGGGACCTTACCCGGCTCAGAGTGGTCCTGCCATAGGCGGGGAGAGAAGAGGACTTTGATGTTCCTGCATGCAGGGCTGGAAGAGAGCAAGAGGCCTGGTCGGTGCCTTTGGACAGCCATTCCTGAGAGGGCTGCCTCCCTGGCCTCCCCTGCCAGAGGCAGGGCCGTGAAGGGCAGACCTGGGGGGCCCGGGGAGCCCCTGTTGGCTTTTGGCTCTTGCCCATTACCTTCAGCAAGCGGCACTGTGCTGGCAGCTCTGGGCTGTCTCTCTAAACAAACACACATCTGGACAAAATGCCCAAGTGTTAAAACTGATAGTTGGCCAGTGACAGTCAGATGATGAGGCTCACCGTCATAAGATGAAACTCTGGACTACAGAAATATATCTGAAATTTCGTCAAAATGACGGACGGAATCATAATTTACAATTAGCAATGCTAGTAATCACATTTCAGATGTATGACGTTATCATACAGAAACGATCATTTCCTCAGCGCCATCAGCTGCTAGACTGTGGCAGCAGTATACGAGCACAGAAGTCCGTATACACCATGTTTGTGGGGCGCCTGGCCGCCTCAGTGGGTGGAGCATGCGACTCTCGACCTCAGGGTCATGAGTTCGAGCCCCATGCTGGGTGTAGAGATCACTTAAAAATATCTAGAGAGGGACTTCACGTGTGCAAGATCAGATATCACTTTGAACTTACACATTTCATAGGATCACTAGGCATTCTCTCTCTACATATTGTTGGTTTTCAGTAACAGGTTTTCCTAAAGAGAACTTTGTACCTAAGATTCTTAGTTTGCCCAGATCTCAAAACTCTTTCATGTCCAAATGCTAGAAATCATTGGCAATCCATGGCAATCATTTTGATTAACATTTTTTTAAAGTGTATGTATTTATTTATGTAAGTAATCTTTACACCCGATGTGGGGCTTGAACTCACGACCCCAATATTAAGAGTCACATGCTGCTCTGACTGAGCCAGACATGTGCCCTGATAAACAATTTGTTTGAAGGTTCAGCCTTGACAGATTCAAAATTATAAGGAATTGTCTTCTTAAAACATTCTTTTTTTTTTTTTTTTAATTTTTTTTTTTCAACGTTTATTTATTTTTTGGGACAGAGAGAGACAGAGCATGAACGGGGAAGGGGCAGAGAGAGAGGGAGACACAGAATCGGAAACAGGCTCCAGGCTCTGAGCCATCAGCCCAGAGCCTGACGCGGGGCTCAAATTCACGGACCGCGAGATTGTGACCTGGCTGAAGTCGGACGCTTAACCGACTGCGCCACCCAGGCGCCCCTAAAACATTCTTTTAAGGGGCGCCTAGATGGCTCAGTGGGTTGAGCATCCGACTTCGACTCAGGTCATGACCTCACAGTTTGTGAATTCAAGCCTCCATCAGGCTCTATGCTGACACCTCAGAGGCTGGAGCCTGCTTTGGACTCTGTCTCCCTCTCTCTGTCTCTCTCTATGCCCCTCCCCTGCTCACGCTCTGTGTCTCTGCCTCTCAAAAATAAAGAACCGTTAAAAAAATTTTTTTAAATACTTCTTACTTTTGTATAGGAAATTATCTGTTTCTACAATGATCATTCACTATTGAAGCATTTCATTTCTGTGATAAGTATACATTTATATTTCAAATGAATGATAGAATTTCAACCTACAAAGCATATCAGAAGATTTTCACTTGGAATTATTTTTAGAATGCTCATTTACATTTGAAAGTGACCATTTCGGGGAGCCTGGGTGGCGCAGTCGGTTAAGCGTCCGACTTCAGCCAGGTCACGATCTCGCGGTCCGGGAGTTCGAGCCCCGCGTCGGGCTCTGGGCTGATGGCTCGGAGCCTGGAGCCTGTTTCCAATTCTGTGTCTCCCTCTCTCTCTGCCCCTCCCCCGTTCATGCTCTGTCTCTCTCTGTCCCAAAAAAAAAAAATAAATAAATAAACGTTAAAAAAAAAAAGAAAGTGACCATTTCAACACTACCATCAAGTCAGAATGACATGCCTGTTCACAATTCTGAAACTGTTGAGGCTGATTAGCTATGACAGTAATGTAAGCAGTCAAGCAGTCATGTGATCACTGGTCACATAGGAGTTCAGGTATGCCAAACATGATGGTGTGGTAGATATTTGGCCATTCAACTCTGCAAGGCCAAAATGGAAGTTAAAGAGCTAATTTTGACTGAATAGCAAATTCTGGTAGAACATGAAGATTGAATCCAACCTTTGGGACATCTCCCTATCTGCTTCTTTCTTCCGGCCTTCACTATTCTACATTCTCTAAAAAGGCCTTACTGTAACTCTTCCCAATCCTACTGAAATATCATCCTGGGACCTTCAGTGACCCTGTGGATGTCCAAGCACATATGACCCTTACGGCTCCTTGAATCCCACCCCCTCTGTGGCCTTCACCTCAGCCCCATCAGGCAGCCCTTCCAAATGGCCACCCCCTAGGTCTTGTCCCCAACTGCTGCACATTTGAAGCCTGGGAATCCCACTTTGCAGCCACAGCACCTTTCTTGTTTGTGGCTTCCTTGCATCCTCATTCCCAGCACAAATGTCCATCAGTCTCATGGGGACCTCCAGTGTCTTGATCCCCCTGCTCCCTGCTTCCCCTGGGACCTTCGACCCATGGTGGGGTATATAACCACTTTCACCACCACTCAGCAGTTCACCCAGCCCCTCATCCCTCGACACCTGCCTTATGAAACTCTAACCGTGGATCAGCCAGCAACTCTTGCCTGCAAACCACAGAGATAAGGCCCACACTGCGTGGATGATCATCACTACAGTCCGAAAGACTGGCAACGGTTCCCCTCCCCTGCAGCGTCTGGTCCTAACCTTTCCAACCTCACCCAGCCTCACCCTCTTTCCGCTCAGCAGACAACCTCAACTTCCCACGTGGCCTGCTCCCAGACCCGAGTCCCCAGCCCTCAGAGAAAGGGGCCTTTTAAGGCTCACCTCCCACATCCGGAGGCTGGGCCTCCTCCTGGGACCTCCAGCTGGACATTGCTGGGGCTCTTACCACTACATACAAGCTGAAGACTCAACTTGCCCTTCAAGCTTCCAACTCAGTAAGACCCAGCTTTCACCCACATGTACTTCAAGCCCAACATGTTCTAAACCAGTCCCTTCATCTTTCATCCAACCCCTTCCTCCCTTATCACATCAGTTCCAGGTATGTCCCCACCTAGCACCCAAGCCAAGACCCTGACTCGGCTCTCCTTTCCCACAGCCAGTCAACCACTTAGTCCAGTTGATTCCACCTCCTATATATTTCTCAAACCCAACGCCTCTCCTCTGAACCTATGTACAGTTTTAGTCCTTATCCAGACTATTGGGATGGCTTGCACATTTTCTTCCAGCCCGTGAGCCTCTGTACCACTGCCTTCATCAGGCAGTGGAATGCCTCTCCCCTCCCTTGAGTCTAGGCGGCCCCATGAGCTGCTCTGACCAATAGGATGCAGAGGAGTGATGCTGGGTGGCTCCTGAGGCTAGGCTTTTAGAGGCCTCATTGCTGCAGCTTGGGCTTTCTGCTCTCCCTCCCTCTGCTGCAGCCGCCCTGCTCTAGGGAAGTCAAGGCTAAACTCCAGTGATTTAGAGGGCTTAGTACCCAAAGCCCAGGACACCCCCCCCCCCCGTCTCTCTGGCTAATCCCTGCCACCCCAAGGCACACTCTGGGCTCTGTAACTGCAGGCTCCTGCAGGCCCTGTAAGGTGGCCAGGATGTTTCCTGTTCCTTGCCTTTGCTTGCACACTGTCCTGTGTCCACAATGCCCTTCTCCCCCACTCACTCTTTTGCTTCAAGACCTAGTTACCCTCCTCCCCGACCCTCCAGCCCCAGGCCCAGTCACCATCCTCTCGAAGCACTCACTGTGTGCCTCTCATGTCACCATAACACCTCCCCAAACTGCACCGACCGTAATTCTCATGTCAACTTCCCCATGGACCGGGAGCTACTGAAGGATAGGATATATTTTCGACTCTTTATAATCCCCAATGTCTAGCATATGTTGAACACACAATAAGTGTTTGATAAGTTAAACAAAATTTGCTAATTCTGCTTTAGTCTTATTCCATGACTGGTATTCTTGCCCTAAGGAGAACACGAGTGCCTTGAGCCAGTGACGCGATCTTTTGTCCCTTACACCGCAGGAGCACAGAGCTGGGCATATGATAAACTCAGACTCCGATTCTGGCCTCAAGGTCTGGCCAGGTGATTCGGAGCCCCCCCCACCCCATGGCACTCACAGGTATGAAAGGGTGTCCGGTCAGGCAGAGAGCGAGTTTTCCTCCGGATAGGCAATGACTTTTCCATCTCTTCTTTCAAGATCATCTTTCCCAAGTTGGAAGTAACCTGGAGAAGGAGAAAGGAAGATGGGTCCAAGACTTCTACCCGCATTCCTCATCTCCAAAAGGTTCAGAGCTGGGTATCTGCAGGCAGGACTGGGGACTGGTTTCCGAGTGGCTCGGTGGTGCCCTGGAGCCTGTGGGGCCTGTCACTGTCTGATGCACTGCCACACTGGGTTTGGCCACCCTGGAGAGCAAGGAATCAGCGCAGCTCAGTGTAACTGTATCCTAGTGGCTTCTGCATCCCAGAGCACAAGTCCGTGCCACCGTCAGTGACCTTTCCAGGACCCCCAACACCCTTTCTCCTGCTCTGGAGACCAGTGGCCTGCTCTCTCCTTGCTCCTCTTCCCGTGAACTTAGTCTACTGAAGCGTAGCACTGTGAGGGGGCACCCTTTTCTTTCCTTTTGACCCTAAATTAACTAGTGTTTCCCAAAAGCAGCACGAGGTCCTGGTGTCCATTCAGTAGCAGCAAGCTGAAGTCCTGGGAAGAAGGGGGGTTCCTCGTGTTCCTACAAGGATGTTCTTCAGGCATGACACCATTCAGAACAGAACAGCTAGTGAACCAGAACTTTTGTCCCCAAGAAGATATAGGCAGGGTGTCTGGGGGGTAGTGAGATGCTACCTTACTGAGTTCCTCTCTCTGACGCTCCCTGAGAGCCTTCATCTCTTCCCCAGAGTCGTCATCTTCCTCCTCTTCCTCTTCCTCTGCGCCCCTCCTCGATGCCTTCCGCTTCCTCCATTCTGTCTCTGGGGAACACAGGCAAAAGCAGGCTCGTCAATCAGCCATTCGCTCAACAAGCATTTGTCAGGTGCTGGCTTTGTGCGTGGCAACTGGGCTGCACCTTGAAGAGAACACTACAAATTATTTTGTAAAAAAATAAAATAAAGGTAACGTTTTCTAGCCTTGTGGTAAAGCTGAGTAGGCAATGCACACTCACATGACTTAAATTTACAGGGGACTAAACCCTTGTCTTGCTCCTCTTTCTCTTTCCCAGAGCTCCTGTCACAGAGCTTGGGAGGCAGACTTCTGGTAAATGTCTGCTGAGTGGCCAAATGAAAGGAAAGTGAATGAAAGACTAACAAGCAGGGCCACACACACCAAGAGCCATTGGAACACAGGGAAGGGCGATGAGCTGAGAGGGCCATGAAGGACGTGGGGTGGGCATGGGGAGAGGGTGGGTTCATGGAGCTTCAACAGCAGCTCTCGGGAGGCAGTATCCCAGGCCTCCCTTTCCCCTCTCCAACACAGTGTCCTACCCACGACGGCCAGCGACGGGGGGCATGGCCAATAGTCGGTTTCAATCTTGGCTGGCTGGTTGGGGTCAGGCGGCTGGGCTGCAGGGAACTTGGAGGACTCGATGATGAGGTCCTCGATGAGGTGCTTGCTCTGAGGGCTCCCTCCCATGGACTCTGCAGGTGAAGGTCAGGGTCAGCCCATACCCCCTGCCAGGCCACCTCGGCCTAGCCCAGCCCCTAACTCCCTCTCCTGTCCTCTCTCACACCTGTGAGACCATGGGTGTAAACACAACACACAGCAAAGAATACAGAGCAGAGGTTATATGCTGTTATGAACAGCTATTCTCCCACGGTCCCCTAGCCGGTGGCGCAAAGCGGCCCAGGTCAGTGAGGGGAACCCTCACCTCTCTGCTTGTAGATAGGTGGCTTCTTGTAGATGTTGGAATCTGGGCGGGTTGTCTCTGTGGACAGGGAGCAAGAGCAGATGAGAAGGAGGATATGCTGATGGTGGGCGAGACCAGGCCAATGAGGAGGCACAAATGGAATGGAAGAAGGCAGGAAATTCATGGGCTCCTGCCAAGAGCCAAGACAGAACTGGAGTTCCTAGAGCTGTCCCTCAGGGGATTGGGACTTTTCCCACTTTTCTAGTTGGGTGGGAGGGAAGGCACCATCCGCCTGTGGTCCTGCCATCAGGGGTTCCAGCCAATTCCATAGTGAGCATATACCCCAGAGAGTGGGGGACAGACAGTAAAAAGCTTGGGTTCCTGCAGGAAAAAGAGGTCCCAGGGAAAGGGTGCAGCCACAATGACAGTAAAGCCTACCAGGATGGTGGAAATGGGGTAGGCTGGTCCGTGGGGTCCCAGTGGCTCTTGGGGCTGAAACCTGAGAGATGGTTCCAGGGGACCGGCTCTCTGCCCACACCTGCAGAACAGAAGTGTGGTTCACTGAAGCTCCCAGGTCTCCCACCCTACCCTCTCCAACCCAGAGAGACACTGCTTCACCTGACTCCACCATCTCTGTCCCCCCCACCCTGATAGCCCACAAGCCCCCAACCCCAGGGCAGAGGAAGGGTATCCAAGGACTCGACCTACTGATGATGTCTGACCCAGGGAGAAAGGGTTAAATGAGGTCCTGGGTCAGACAGACAGATGGACACAGAGCTGGTCACCAACAGGATGAGGTCATCCCATGGGCTCTGCATATGTGTGGGGGAGGGGAGCCGGGCAAGTGTCAGGTGTGGGGCAGACTCACCTCTGGGGATGGTGGGGGGGATGTGGATTTGGGTGACAGTGAGCGCTGCGGATGGAGAGGAGGCTGGTCAGAGCCACAAGGGTAGGGGTAAATCCTCATCCCTAGAGCCCCGGAAGGGCCACTTCATCCCCCGCCCAACTCTGCACCCTTGCCCGGCCAATTTCTGAGCCACCTCTTCTCTCTCAGTCCTTGCCAGTTCCCAGAACTGGCCCTCCATCCTTCTTCATCCTAGTGCTCTCCTGGGCAGAGCCCTCTCTTTCTCTGGATGTACGAAGAAGCCATGGATCTTGGAGCAGTGTGCTTGTGCTCTGAGGGCCAGTTGAAGGTGGCTCTGACCCTGTCCTCAGAGCCTAGCGCCCAGGGGAAGGGACAAGACCCACAAGCAGCCAGGATGGAGTCTGGGCTCCCAGCAGGGTAGCCCCCAGCCTGCCCCCAGCCCACAGTTCAGCCATGACACTACCCCTTTCTGGAACACGGCTTACAAAGTAGCTGCCACAAGTTCTCTCTCACACTTAAATAGCTGGTGAGGTGGGAGGGCAGATGTATTGCCTCGATTTACAGGAGGGGAAACTGAAACCATACTTTCACGCAGGTCACTCAGCTAGGAATTCCAGCCTTCTCGTCCAGTGCTCCTGAGGGCTTTTGGCAAATTTGCTTTTTCTGTCCACTCACACCCTTTTCCTCCATAACCCCGGCCGCGGGGGGCCACCACCGGCTCTGTGAGGCTGCCATTCAAACATGGCCTCCCCACTCTCTGCATGGAGCTTATCCTCCAGCCTCCGGCCTGTCTCTGCCTGCTCTCCACAAACACTGGGTTGACCATTGGTTGATTTCTGCCCACAGTTCCTTTTCTTGTTTTGGAGTCTGGCCACCAGGAAAGGAAGCATCAGAGGGATTCCACCTCCTACCCGGTGTGGCTGGGGGAGCCCTTTCCCCCAAGTCCTGTCCAAGAGGAGCCTCCCACCCCTCACCTCCCGGCTTCTGGGAAGCTCCACATGTTCCAGGAGAGAATAGGTAAAGTGGGGCTCGTAGATCATGAGGTCAGGCCGCTCGATGTCCAGGATGGCCTTGTCCTTGGGGATGGCAGCCAAGTCCTTGTAGCCCAGCACCTGATTGTCCATCTTGGCCTGAAGGGAAATGGTGTGAATGGAACAGATGTGCCAAAAGCCTCACCTAGAATACTGGCCTTAGGAAGAAAATGGGCAGCCATCTGAGATGTCAGCTCTTCAAAGTTAATAATTCTATTATTTTAATTTTAAGAGTTTAGAGAGTTACCTTACAAAATGATAATCCTTCGCCTAGCATTTTGGGTACAATGAGGCAGGACCAGACCAGAGAAGGGGGATGTGGAGAACCTTCTCTGGATTTCTGGGTTCTCTCTGCCCATCAGCCCTGGCAGGACCATCGTCAGGGAGGCTCTGGGTAAAGTGGCCCAGCAGTGTCCCCACCCCATCCCTGTCCCAGCTTGGGGGTGCTGGTGGCCGAGAAGTACTCACCACGATGCTGGAGGGAGAGCCAGGAACACTGGAGCCTCGGGAGGAGCTGACGCTCCCAGGGGAGGTAAGTGGTTGCTGGGGAGAGTGAAAGGCGGGCGGGTGGGAATGAGCGTGCGTGCCAGGGCCGGGTGCGGGCTGGCTCTCCTCCGGGCGGAGGGAGGGAAGGAGGGTGGGGCTGGGGCAGGGGAGGGCTTCCTTAGGCCTCTGGGGCCCCGAGGTGCGGTTCTGCAGGCAACCAGCAGGTGGCACCGTCGACTCCCGACCTGACCCTCGGCGGGGAAGCCTGGCCCCACCCGGTGCCCAGGCCGCGCACTGCCGGGACGTGGGGGCGGGGGCACCTCCCGCGCACCTTCTGCAGCCGTTCCATGCAGCAGGAAGCTGGCCTGTCCGGTCACCCGCAGAGCCCCGTGCGCGAGGGTTGACGACACAGGGCGTCAGGCTCTGCCCGGCTCCTGGGCGCTGCGCGCTCGGGGCCACGAGAGCAGAAAGTGCGTTCCACCGGGCTGTGGCGTCCTCATCCCTCAGTGACTCTCCCGGCTGGTGACCGAGTGCCGGGCCTGGGAGGGAAGAACGTGCCAGGGAGGGCGGTGGGGCCCCGGATCTCTGGGAGCTCCGGAGAGCAGGGCGGAAGGGAGCCAGCGCCCTTCAGGGTTCAGGCTTTCCATTCGCTCAGCCCCGGGTAAGCAAGCGAGCGCGCGTGTGGACGGCAAAGCGGGAAAAGCGGAGGGACTGCACTTGTTTTTGAGCCATTGTTCTCTGGCCGGAAAGGAAATGACTGCTGGGGTCACCCGTTCCGGTGCAGCCTCACATTCCGGCTCTGTCACACCTGCCCTGCCCTGGGGCTGCAGTCCGGTTTCAAGCCCTGGTTCTCACTCCTCTCGGTCAAGGCCGTGGCCTCTCTCCCTGGCTCTGTGCTGGCGCCTGTCCTTCTCCCTACTCAATCCATTGTCCATTGTGCCCCCTGTGTCTCAAATCCCAGGCAGGTTTAACACAGAGGGACCTACTGAACCTATCAGGTGAACAGACTGGGTGGAGATGCAGTGAAACTGACTTGGCATGAAGTGCCCCTGTCATGGGCTGGGGGAGGCCTCCTGGAAAAAGGGAGGGGAGTGTGGAGGGAGACCACATTCGGTGTCCCTGTCCCTGTCCAGCAGGCAGTCTCACTTGCAGGCATTTGATAGAGTCCCCTTTGGGGTCGAGGCCACATCCCAGCTCTGCACAGCCTTCTCAGAATGCCTGTGCTGAGGCTGTCCTCTGAATTGCTACTTCTCTACAAGGCAGGGCCCCTAGCTTCAGCAGGAAGGCATCCCAGCTGGCACTGCTGCCTCTTTGTTCCTGGGGAGTTGGGTCTTGTCTGCTGCAGTAGATTATGAGTTCCCTGGGGCCACAGTCCATGTATTCCCCTTCATCCCTGATTCCCTTAGCAATCTTCCCATCCCCCCACTGCCTGTACTAGACACATAATAACCACTCAGTGAATGCCTGGCTGACTTTCCAGCCATGGTGGCCATGGGCCTTTGAGTGCAGAGAGTTGATGGCTACAGAAAGTACAGGGAAGAGGCAGCATGAACTCTGGACCAGAGTACCTGGGAGTGAGTAGACTCTGCTACTCAGCAGCTGTGTGACCTTGGGCAAGTTACTTACTCTCTCTGTACTTACATTTCTCATCTGTAAAATGGAAGACAGTCATAGTATCTATGTCATGGGGTGGCTCTGCGTATTAGATAAGTTATAAAATGTGAAATGCTTAAAACATCATAAATTCTACTATGTGGAGTATTAACTATTATTATTTCTATTTCCCCAAGGGCTAATGAACTTTTGTGTCTTTTCTGTAGCTGTTCTTTACCACAGGGGGTAATGAAAGACTGAGGTCATTGGTGCTCCCAATCTTATCACCTGTTACTTTGTATCAGGCCATTCTTCTGCTCACCCTCTTTCCCCCACCAAAACCACCTGCTTGCTGCAAAAGCAGCCCTCACTCCCATGTCCCTGCTTTTGCGCATGCCCTTTCCACTATTCTCTGTCCCCTTCCATGTCTCCCAGAACCCACTAGTCCTTCAGGGGCCATCCTAAGCTCTGCTCCTCTGGGAGGCCTCCTCTACTATTCTAGGCCTTCTTATAACGCTTCTCAGAATTCCAGTGGGACTGAAAAAGAAACCTGCATAACTTTGCCCTTGATTATATGTTGCCTAATGCCAGAAAATGTTTTTTCACTAACCAGAATGAGTGCTAACTTCTGGAGGACAAAACAATAACAATAGATACCATTTTTTGAATGGTCATGTTAGGTACTTTGATAAGCACTTTTTTTTTAAAGATTTTATTTTTAAGTAATCTCTATGCCCAGTGTGCGGCTTGAACCTACAACCCTGAGATCAAGAGTCGAGTCGCATGCTCCACCAACTGAGCCAGCCAGGTGCCTCTGACAAGGACTTTAAAAGAATGATTTTGTTTCATCCCCCCTCAACAACAAAGGTAGACCCATTTTACAGATGAGAAAACTGAGGCTCAGGTTAAAAAGTTGTCCAGAGTTGTGAGCTGAAAATGACTGTTCTTCAGCATTGGCATGATTCAAAGTGCCTGCCTAGTGCCGTGTCAGGTGCATTGTGGGGATGGACTAAAATCTGCCACATTTCTCAAGTCTTTTTGAAATTCTAGAGTCAAGGCTTGTCTAAGACAGGACTCTGGCCATCAGAGTCACACTAGGTATTTGGTTCCCATGGAAAGACTCCATTCCAGAGCTTTATCCTTCTCTTGCCTTCTTAGCTCTCACTTTGTAATGCTTTTAACTAGGTGTCTGAGGATCAGAGTAAACTCTAATACATATTCAAGAGCTGTTAGTTCTTTTTCACTCCTCTCTGATCTTTACTGTGTTAGCAGCCATTGTCAAACTAACTATATACTTGGTTTAGCCTTAGAGCCAAACACTCATTCATCCATGTATCTACCCATCCTTCCATCCATCCATCCATCCATCCACCCACCTACCCAGGCATATATTGCTTTATCCATTCATCAAATACTTCCTGAGTACCTAATTCTTCAGTAACCACAGACAACACTCAGTGATAAGCCTTATGGAGAACAGAAAGATGAGTCAGGGGAGCCGAGCTGCCCCTCCAGAAATGAGGCATGTATGTAGATAACTTGCGCGCAAAGCAGAAAATTACATGTGCTAGATAAGATAATATAAGGAGCCATGAGAAGTCACAGGAGGAGGGATCACTCCTGCTGGGGTGTTGAGAAAGGAATGATAAAAAAGATCCCTTAGAGGAGGTATTCGAGGTAGGCCTTGAATGCCCAGTTTGAGTTCATGTAAAAACCGAAGAAATGGATTCTTGAGAGATAAAGCAGCATGAGCAAAAGTAGAGATATGGGGAGCAGCACTGGGTCTGGCTAGGGAACAGCACATATGGCTAAATTATAGAGCTCATAAGGTTGAAATATGTTTGATGCAGGAGGTCAGGGGTCAGATTATGGAGGCCTCCAACCCAGACTAGGGGATTCAGACTGTATTTTGTGGGCAAGAGGAGCCATAGAATGCTTAGAAACTTTTTTCAAACAAAGAAGTGACAGACCCAAGCAGTGCTTTGAATGTGGCTTCAGCCTGGAAGACAAACTGGACAGGAAGGGGCAGTGTGGACAAAGACCAGCCTGGAAGCTACGGCAGCAGTCAGGCAGGGGCTTGTGAGGGCCTTGACTTGGGTATGAGGCCCATGATGGAAAGGAGGCAAAAGGGAGAGATCCTAGAGGCACAATGTGCAAAACAGACTTGATCTGGAGAACCCCTGGGGGATGGGGAGGTGGCTGCCCTCCGAGGCAGAAGGGGAAGCATGGAGTTCACTTTTTGAGGTTGAGGTGAGTGCAGTCGATGAGCCCATGGGAACATCCAGGAGGAACAGGAGGTTGAGGGAGGGGCAGGCTGGAAATAGAGATTTGGAAGCCATCTGACTACAGACGGTACTTTGCACATGAGGTTGTCAAAGGAGAAAAGAAGTTTAAAACCAGCATCCTGGGAAATACCAAGGGGACCAGAATAGTCACAGATGGCATGAAAGGGAGAGGTGAAACGGAATGGCCAGCTCCTTGGGGGCACGGAGTGTATCTAGTGCACAGTAAGAGTGCAATAAATATGGAGAAAAATGGTAGGCAAGTGGGGCTGAGAAAAGAAGGTCATGGAGCCAAGAGTCCCTGGCCCAGAGAAGGCGGGAAGTGTTGCAGGGAGTGAAGGCTCTCTGGTTTGGTGGCCTGTGAGAGCATTTCCAGAGGAGTAGTGAGGCTCCCTTGTCAGGGCTGGCCTAGATAGCACACAGGCAAGAAGAGTGTGACAGAGGGTGGGAGAGGGTTGGAGAGTGGCTCTGGAGGAGGCCGACTGGCGGAAGGTGTTTAAAGAAAGGGAAGACCTGAACACGCTTGTAGGCATTGAAGAGGGAAGAGGGATCCCAGCAGGGGAGAGGCATGTGGTTCAGGCCCAAGTGGAGGGCTGGCTTTGGAAAGAAAACTCTAGGCTTCCCTGGAAGGAGAGGAAAGGGAAAGTTGGGTATCCACAACACAGAAGCATGTAGCCTGGGCCAGTCCCATTGGGAGGCCATTATTTTCCCAGGAAAAGTGACAGATAAGGCCATACGCAGATCTGACAGGTTGGTGAGCAGAAGCTAAAGGCAGTAGAAAAGGTCTGGTGGGGAGTGTGGATGGCTGAGCTGCCAGGGAGAACTGAGAGTTTCCATGTGTTCTGAGCCTCAGGCTGAGCCTGGTGGTGGCCCTGGCACCTTCCCCTCGAGCACCAGTGTGTGTGTGTGTGTGTGTGTGTGTGTGTGTGGCAGGGAGGTACAGGATGAGGCAATGACTGTGTATCAGAGTGGTAACTGCTCAGGCAAGAAGTGAGGGGAAGGGTACCAGACCAGCCATGTCACTGCAGTGCACAATCGCCCTGAACCCACACTCACATGTGCACAAACACTGGCCTTCAGGCATAGCCACTCAGAAACAGGATTCAAAATAATGATGTGTCTGCTCTGTTGCCCGGGCCTTTCCAGAGCTGCCCACAACCCTGCGGCAGTCCCCTGTGCTGGGTCTCATCCCCTTAGCCTCAGAGTCTCCTCTCCCTTACTCTGAGCCACATTCCTTTGAGCCTGCTTGGCAGTGCCCAGTGTGTTAGGAAACATGCTGACAAACTGATCTCTTACTCTTCCAGGGCACTACATTTTAATTTAGGGCTAGCCTTAAGAAGTGAAGTTCTTTCTGGTGAAATTTTAAGGAAAAATGCTTTGGGGTGGAGTTTCTCTCTCTCTCTCTCTCTCTCTCTCTCTCTCTCTCTCTCTCAGGAGAGAGAGTGAGGGAGAGGGTGAGAGGGAGGAAAGGAGGGATTTCTTGGCTTCTCTCAAATCACATTATGCAGGCAATTGCTTACTCCACCCACAAGAGGCCCCCTCCCCCAAAGCTAATTTCCTCCCAAGTCAACACCCACTCTCCCCTCCTCCAGTCCTGACCCTCTCTCCCGACCCCGTACACGCCCCTTGTGTCTGCACATGCACATGCACATGCACATGCACCCCCTCAGTCCCAGAAACCTCCTATGAACCAGACCGAAAGGGCAGGCTGCAGCAGGAAGGGAGGGCAGGATGGAAGGACAGGGAAAGAAAAAAAGGCGGTGGAGGCAGGCAAGCCCAGGTGGTGGAGAGGACTTCCCAGCTGCTCACTCCCATCACACACTGGGGCTCCTCATCCCTCCTTCTCCACCCCACCCTCCCCCAGCCCCGCAGCACTGCCTTATCTAAGCCACCAGCCCAGCCCCACCTCACATTGCCCACCTGCGCATCTCCATGGCAACTAGAACCTCTCAGCTTTGGGCTGGGGGTGATAAGACCTCTGCACCCATCCCAGCCGGCTCCTCCTGCAAATAGGACTAGCCTGGCTGTGCCTCCCTGGACTTGTAGAAATGAAGGCTCAGCGGGCAGAACCACAGCTGGGGACCTCCAGTCCAGCCTCTGCTCATATCCTAAGCCAACCCCCGCTGGCTCTGTGCCAGTTGCTGTGCCGTGGACTTTCATAACATCCTCTTTACCCTCCACACAAGCCTTCCCCACTTAGAGATGAGGAAACTGTGGCTGAGAGGCTGACTTGCCAAAGCCACACAAATAGAAGGCAAGCTGGAATTGCTACCCAGGCCTGTCTCAGGCTAAAGCCAATGGACAGTCTTCTCAGTGGGTCTCTGAAGATCCTACTTCAATCTGAACTTGGGTCTTGGGGCTAACCTTATATAGTGCTAACCCTACATGGTGGAGCCACCCAGATTCCTGCCCGCTGGCCTGACTTGTGGACAAGGAACAGGGAGACTGGGGGACTGGGGCTTTGTGCCCCTGGGCAGGGTCAAGCCAGCCTGGGCGCAGGTAGTGCAGAGAGTAAGTGAGTTGTGAAATGAGGCAAATGAGCTGTCCAAGTGGGCTGGGGTCAGTGTGGGCAGGAACTTTGCCCCTCTCCCTTTTCTCCAGTTTCACTCACAGTGTGACTGCCTGCCTTGCCCCTTCCCTGCTCCTTCTCCACTCTCTGCTTTCCATTCCCTTTTTCTTCTCTTTCTTCATCTTTCCTCCCTTGGCTCTGTTTCCCTTTCACACTGTCCTGCTCCCAGCCCCACCCCTACAGTTACTGTGGCAACAATTCAGTGCCAGAAATAAAGGAAGGATCCAGCTAGGTCACTGGTTCCCAAAACAGCATCCCATCCTGGGGTGGAGAGGGGAAGAGTGGGCAGGAGCAGACCAGCAGTAGCCAGGGAGGCCTGAGGGTGTACGTGTGGGTGGGTGGGTGTGGGTGGTTGTGTGCACGCATGCGCAGGGGGCACCCATGCTTGCTCCAAAAGGACGTGCAGGAAGGCCAGGAGAGGGCTCCCAGCTCTGGGCCAGCAGTTCATGGAGCATCCATCAGGCCTGTGCCTGCCCTTCTTCCCTTCTCTCCTCATCCCCATTTTTTAATGCTCAATATGCTAGGACTAGGGTTAGTGTTCCTCTAATACCAACACTATATATATATATCACCCTCTCACACTCTGCTGAAGCATCAGGCAGGGCAGATGGGCCCAAAATCTGGGCCCCAGCCTGAGAACCCACCTGCTCAAGGCCCTGCCCCATCTTTGGTCCTGATGACAGCAGGACTGGGCCCAGGCAGCCCCTTCCACTCCCCCCACTTCATACAAATATGCATCTTTTCATTCAGTTTCTCCTAGACTTCTCTTGTGTTGATGTACCCTTTCTCTATACTTTCCTTCTGAAGAGGCCCCTCTTTCTGTGTCCCCCCAACTCCTCAGGCTTACTTGGTCCTCAGCATGCTTCTGCTCTGGTCTCTACTTATAGCTGGTTCTGTTGGTACATTGTGGTGCCACTGGTACAAAGTAGATTGATAGAGCTGCGGGGAGATGCAAGGATCTTGAGTCCCAAGTTCAGCTTTCTGAATTCTGAGAGTATCCTTACTCTGATGTTTACACACACACACACACACACACACACACACACACACACACACACACACCCCAAAAGAGGAATTCCTATAGACCTGCATTCCCAGGTGAACTGCCTGACTCAGGTGTTGAACATAAGGAGAGGCCAGCAGCACTGAGGCAAGACACATGTGGACATAGCACTTTGCCCACACAGGCAAGAGCCCACACTGAAACACAGTTGCAGAACCCATGCACCCTGCTTGCAAGATCATGCCCCCACTCTCCCAGCAAGGCCCACACACAGTGACACACAGTGCTACTGACACCCACTCCCACCCACCCACTGATCCTCTCTTGGCACCCGTTCTCCATGCTCACAACCACTCGCATCACGTGCTGACACCCCCTCCCTGAGCTGTGCACATGTATGCCCCCCATTTACCCACTCCCTGGTGGCTTCCCTGCTCCCCATTCCCAAAGCATGACTGCCTTCCTTCTCCTACACCTGCCCCTGCTCCCCTGACTCTCAAACCCTGGCAACACAGTCCCCTGGGAGGGAAACACTAGGTGCATCTGCCCAGGGAGGGGGCTTGGCCTGCTAGGCTGGCAAGGGGTTGCCTCTGGATCCTCACAGGCCTGAATGTCTGCTCAGCCCCCAGCCTCTTCAAGCACTTCAGCAGTGGCCAGGAGTGAGCAGGGGTCAGGCCTGCAGCCACACCCTACCACCCAACATCATTCTGCATTTGGTTCTCACCCCAGCCTGGCCAGCCAAGGGCTAGAAAGGGGCTCACCAGGTACCTCCTCCCAAGGAACACAACCCTCACCAACAGCATTCAGGTGTCTGTGTGTAGTGCTTCCCCCTCAAAACCTGCAGCACATTGGGAGTGAGGGGGGCAACCCCTTCCACTCCCCGTTATTCAGCAAAGAAAGAACAGCTCCCCTGCCCACCCCAGTGCCCCCCCAATTCCATCACTTGCACTTCTGCCCAGCACAGCTAGGTGAAGGGGGCACTGGGGTGACAGCATGAACCCTCAGCCCTCTTCCTCAAATCAGGCTTGATGAAATCAAACCCAGCTAGTCCCAGAGTTTCTCCCCCTGAACAGCGGCCATAGCCGACCCCTCCTAAGGGGATCCGTGCCACCACCCAGAGCCTCACTCCCAGGCAGGGGTTGTGGCCCAAAGTGCCCAGAGAGGTGAAGAGAGATGGGAGACCCTGCCACCTACCTCTTCCCAGACAGTGTCGCCCAGATGCTCTGAGGCCCCAAGACTGGGCTGGGCAGGCACAGGCCCAGATCCCAGCGCTGTCGCTTTTTCTCCAGAGCCAAGGTAATAGGCGTCTCTTCCAGGAACCCAGCCGTGCTTTCCCAGAGCACAAATAGCAGGAAAAACCCGGCTTGGGGTAGGTGGGCGGGTGGGGGGAGCTGGCACAGGAGGGGACCTACCCTCTGAGCCCCCACCCCCTCGTCCCCACCCTGCTTCTCCACAGGCTTGCGCTTGGAGCCTGCGTCTGGCGGTCTGGCGGGCGGGCCTCTGGCTCCCCCACAGCACCCTCCCCACCTCCAGCTGATAGCGTGTGGCCGGCCTGAGGGTGTGTGTTTGTATGTGTCTGCGCTTCCACCTAGCTCAAAGCTGCAGTTCAATCCGTTTCAAACAAGAGGAGCATTAACCCGGCATCATGACGAAGCAGAATCGGAAGCAGACTCGCGAGCTGTTGGCCTTTTTCCCTTTCCCACACCCCCAACCCTGCAACATTCCATGCTCACACACTTTCACACACACACACACACACACACACAGCCCCTCAAGCCTCCTCATAAACAGAATTTGAGTTGGGGTGGGGGCAGAGGGGGCTCTACTGATAACTGAGAGATGACAACACCTTTTTCTCCCAGCACCTGTATCTCCTACTCCTTGCCTAAGAGCAGCAACGGAGGCCTCTGGGGTCCTGCCTCCCTGGGGTGCTAAAGGGCATAGATTCTCAGTGGTAGGGAGAGGGCAAAGATGCCGGAATTGGTCACTCAAGGAAGGCTTAACCCCCTCCTGGTGAGGGACAAATGGGAAGATCTGAAAAACCAGGTCCTCAGCACAAGAGACTGGGTTGGCCCTTAGATTACCAGAATCCCCTGGCAACTGTGAGAAGGACTCCATCTCTCACTGGGGCAGCTTCATCAAAAGGGAATTTCCGGCCAGGTGATGCCCAGGTCCCAGCACAGAACTACAGGATGTGCCCTCCCTGTCTGGGAAAACCTTCACAAGTCCAGGACCCTGTCATTGGCCTGTTGGTTCTCTGTGGGCACAGAGCAGAGCATGGTTCATCTTTGACCCCTGGGGGGCAGGGGAGGGAACTCAGCCGGCTGGCCCTGGCCGTGGCCCCAGCAGTCTCTCCACCTCACAGCAGACTTGCCTACCTAGGCAGCCCTTGCTGTTGCCCTGGTAACCACTGCCCACAGCCGGTCAGCTGATGGTATGAGCTGTCCTTCGGGAAATCTAGAATCTGGGGAGGGGGCTCTGGGGTATCTGAATGGAAAATCACAGGGGGAGGGTCTTGAGGGGGACAGGTGAGAGTGTGCTCCAGACCTCTTGCTCAAGGAAAAGAGGACAGGAGGGGACAGGTAGGGACAGTAAGGGAGGGATGTCTGGGTTAGTGAAAGATAGAGAAGAATGAATTTCAAAGGATGGGCTCCAGAAAGAATGGAGAAAATGAAGAAGGCAGGCAGCTGAGTGACTGAGGAAGGGTAGAAGGAATTCAGCTGCTGGGGAGTGGCTGGGGAGAGGGCCCTGTGGAAAGGAATGAGAAAGCCTGGGGGTGAGAAAAGAAACATCTAACCATGAAAAAAAAGGTCAGGACATGATGCAGGAGGAGGTGTACCTTTGATGTGGCAGGAGGGGCTACAGCCTCGGAGGAGGGGGAATCAGGCCTTTCTGGGTAAACTGCCAGCCTCAGACAGCCTCTCTGCTTCCCTCCCTTCAAGCCCACCCTTAGTGCCCTGGCCCTGCTGCCAACCCTCCAGGAGACCAAGCACCAGGTGCTTTTCCACCTCAGCCCTTTAGGACCCCTGATTTTTCCCACTACCACGGTTCCTGTCCTGCTCCCACTTGCCCCCCACCAGACAACGCCACCCCAGGAGATTTGTCTTCCGGTGCAAGAGTGACCAGAGGTAGGGCTGGAATGAGCTGGTGCGGGGAAGGACAGCTGTGGACAGGGGCCTGGAATGAGGTAGCTCATGAGAAATGGGTAGGAGTCTCTATGGCCTGGGAGGAAGGGAGCATTCTCATCTGTGAAACAAGGCCCTTCTCGGATAGAGTGGGGGAATCCAGGGGAAAGGGCAAGGGGAGGGGGAAGGGAGGGCTCTCCGGTACCTTCAGGGGCCTGGGGCGTGGGGCAGGAGCACGGCAGCTTCCTCGGTGACATACACCTCCATCCCTCGGCGCATCTCCTCTCCGCCTCCCGTTGCCAAGACAACCTGCCGGCTCAGCCGCGGCGGCAGCAGGGAGGGGGGAGGAGGCGGCTGTGACTCCTACTGCCTCTTCAGTGATGGAGGGAGGCGGCCTGAGGTCTGCCTCGGTGCTGAGGTGGGGGTGGGGTAGCTGCAGGGGCCAGGGCTCCCACTGAGTCTCCCCTCCCCATTTCCATAAGGCTCTGGGGTTGGCTCCCAGTATGGCCTCAGGACAGCTCTAATTCAGGGCCATATAGCAGGCCGAACTTGCAAAGGGAGGCAGCACTGGGCAGCATCCTCCATTCCAGAAAGCTTGGTGTGCAGCTGGGGAACAGTGATAGGAACAGGGAGGGATGACCTATGTTAAAGGGTCAGAGGGTGGCTTCCAGCAGGAAGGCTGGGGTGGACACAGGGCTTCAGGCCCAGAAGTCTGCCCCGCATCTGACCTCGGCTATTTCTGAGCATCTCCTCCTCTCATTCCCCTTGACCAAGAGGAGAATCAGAGTCTTCCAATCCTGCAAGGCCCATTCTCACTGCCCCCGACTCTACAGGAATGTCCTTCCACAAGGTGGGAGAGCCACCTTGGGCAGGAACAGTCTGCCACCAGCCAGCCCTGGAACCAAGGGGACTGCAGAGTTAGGGCTCCCTCTGTCGACCTGAGGCATGGTAGCTGTCAAGGTCATTCCTTACTGAGAGGGATCCTGGTGTGTGTGTGTGTGTGTGTGTGTGTGTGTGTGTGTGTATTGGTGCTCACAGGGAGGGCACAGCCAGGCCAGGAGACCCTTCTGTTGCCTGCCTCTGCTGCACCTCCACTTCCTCTATTGTCCTACAGTGAGACTTGCTCTGTCACCAGTGGCTTCCTCCTGGGAAGGCCCTAGACTCCTCAAGACCAGTAGACCATCCCCCCTCCCAGTGCTTGCCTCTCTCCCCTTCAGGCTGGGATAAGAGGGGAGGCAAAATCTTTCCCCTAGAGCCAGGCAACACTGAACACCAGTGCCTACTGTCCAGGCCCCAGGGTAGGCTTCCTGGGTACCACTTGGCCATACCCAGCTACTAAGGGGACTAGCATACCTTTAAGTTCAGGAGTGCCTTGAGGCCTTGAGGATGGCCCCTTTCGTCCACAACAAGGGCTGGGGCTCCTGCCCCTCTCAGGCAGGCAGTCCCAGGCCCCAACTAGTTCTTGGCTCCTTTCTGCAGCAAGATCACTGGTGCCAGATGTCCCGGCTGGACTTCGGCCCTGCCACCAGCCCCCTCACCAAGGCCTGTGCAACAGGCTTCTCTGTACTCTCTCTGTCTCACTCCATTGCCCCTTGCCCCGCCCCATGCACCAGCCTGCTGGGGCTGGGAGCACCAGGGACTCTCCCCCTGTGCTATCTAAACATTAACTCCTGGGAAGGCTGATGAGGGCACCTGGGCACCTAAGGAGAAGGGCAAGGTGATGAAGAACTGGGCCAAAGGAATAAAGGGAAAGTTGAGGGCCTGGAAATGACACTTTCTCCAAAGAGTTTAGAAGTCACACACACACCCCACCTCTATGCACTGGACACTCTGTCTCAGGGACCCCAGAGCCTTAGTTCACAGCATGCTGCCACCAGACCAGTCTCTCTCCCAACCTCCAACCCCACAATTGCATGGCCACTCTCCTTCTCAAAGCCTCTGCCACACAAAACTCTCCATCATGTAACCCAATCATTTCCTGCCACTTCTCCAGGCAAACTTGCAATTTTATCCAAACCCAGGGACTGCTCACCTTCCCCTGAACATTCCTCACATTTTCCTATCTCAAAACCTTTTTTCTTTTCTTTTTAATGTTTATTCATTTATTTATTTTGAGAGGGGAGGGGCAGAGAGAGAGGGAGGGAAAGAGAATTCCAAGCAGACTTTGGGCCGCCAGTGCAGAGCCTGACTCAGGGCCCGAATTCTGGAACCGAGCCGTGCGATCATGACTTGAGCTGAAATCAAGAGTCCAACGCTTAACCACTTAACCAACTAAGCCACCCCAGGAGCCCCTCAAAACCTTTTTTCTCATGCTGTTTTCCCTCTTAAATTTTTCCCTTACATATCTTCTCTGCTAACTGAAATCCTGCTCATTCTTAAAGATCATGCAAACTCCAGCCTTTCCCAGTGTCCCAGCCCCACATACTCTCCCACCCTGGAGAACCCTCCCTGCTTGGCCACAAGCAGAGAACATCCCACTCAGATGATGCAGACCGGCAAGAACCTAGACTGTAATGCTCACTAGCTGCAACTGTAGATGAGTTAATATCCCTGAGTCTAAGCTTGTGCACACATTATATGGGAATACCCCCTGAATAAGGGGTTACATGTAAGCACATCTCCAGAGTTCTGTGCACATTAGTGTCCTTATTTCCAATAGCTCCTGTTTCCTTTTCCCCTCTTTTGGGATGTACCAAATGCCACTTTGCTATCTTAGGTATAAGAGAGATTTCCAAAAGTTCCAAAATTTCCAAAAGTGGGTTTATCCCCCCACCTATATTTCAAGTGTCTTGAGATCTTGACCGGGGATGACATAATATCTTGTCCATCTTTTTGGTCAGTTGAAGGGCTAGCACAGTGCTTGTACATTGTAGGGGATAAATAAGTATTTGGATAACTGCTTAGGACCCCTCCCAACCCAAGTCCACCTAAGGATGGAGGGTGGAGGCAGGATTCTGGTTCTCATTCTGCCTCCATCTTGAGGGACTGCAGGGCTCAGAGCCAATGACTTCTTTCTGGACCTTCAGTCGATTTAATTCCCTCAACAAATACTTATTCTGTGTAACATACTGCACTGGGTACTATGAGGGAGGCAAAGACCTACTACTTCTACATCTGAGACACTTGCTTTGTAGCACAACCATTACACAAGCACAAATAAGTACAGTTCCAGAAAACTGTGATATAGGCCATAAGGGAAGGGCAAGTCGGCAGCCAGAGACACTTGTGTCACCAGAGACTGCCACTAGCCCCAGAGGGGAGGAAAGTCTATGGAGCAGAGGAGACAGCAGCGTGCAAGCATTCTGGAGAAAGGTGTGCTGGGCAGTGGGAACCTCAGGAACAGAGCCAGGCACAGGGTGCTGGTTGGCTATTAAACCAGAGCTCCTGGAACTCCCCAGAGGGGACTTGTAGGGACAGGGCTGGGAAAGGAGGCTGAGCAGGATTGTACAGGAGTTTTGAAAACCACGCTAAGGAGTCTGCTAGTGATCAGGTAACACTGGCAGAGCTGTGGTTTAGGGTTGGGTAGGGCCAGGGAACAAACTGTGTGATGTCCTGGAGGAGGTGGGGGGTGTCAGGAGGCAGAGACATGACTTTGAAAGCTGCTGTAGTAACTGAGACAGACCCCAGAGAGGCCTGGCAGTGGTGCAGTTCCCAAGTGTGGGAGAGAAAGCAATGGTGTGCAAGGTGGTGACAGCTGACATGTTGCATTGTTAGGAGAGACTCAGCAGGAAGAACAAGGAGAGAAGAGAAAGGCAGAAATCTTAGGGAATGTTTCTCTAAAGAGGAGCCAGGAAGGGTAGGGTCCCAGTGAGAGAATGAAGAAGGAGGAAAGAGCTTCAAAAAGGTGTGGGGGGGGAGGTCCTTCAAAGAGTCCAGGGATATGAGGCTGAGGACAGCCAGGTCTGAAGCCAAGGAGGTCACTGGCCACTGAAAGTATGAGGGACAGGGCTCAACAGAGTTATTTAAATAGTAGCCTGCTTGTGAGGACTAGAAAGTAAGTGGATGTCCCCCTCTGCTCCATCTGGCTGTTGGAGGACAGCACAGAGGAGGGGAGATCAATATGCAGGCTATTCTTAGCTGGAGGTCTTGGTAATCCTAACCAACACAGGATCTGAGGCACCTGCCGCCTGCTCCCTCCACTTTGTCACATCCTCCCCGAGATGGATGTGCTCATCTTGCCCTAAGTCTTCCCCCACACTGCCCACCCCCACCCACACACTTGCTTAGAACCTTCCGGCACACAGAAGCAGCCAGGGGTAGTCTGTGGTCCTCTGGGAAGTCTTCTCCCCCTACCCCCCTTTCCACATGTTAAATCCCTTGAGACCCCATTATCAGATCTATTCCTTTGGCTTCTTCCTTTTAGCATCTTTGAATTCACCCCCAGACCAGATGGAATCAGCTGGAATAGATTTCACTAGATATGACAAGGCCCCCTAGGTATGGAGCCTGGACTTGGCAGAGGCACTAAAAGGTGTGGGGAGAAGGTTCAGAGAGCCACGCCAGAGACCCAAGACTTGCCAGGCTTGGTGCTTGGGGCAGGGCAAGGCACTCAGGGATGGCACAGGCCTCCAGAGCTGCCTTCCTCCCTCACTCCTCCCTGTCTCAGGCCCTCCCTACCAGGTCTCACCTCAAAAAGCAAGAAAGGAAACAGTGAGGGCTTTCTGGAGCCGGCCCCCAGAGGCCGTCTGTGCTGGGGAGGTCAAAGAGAGGGAGGGAGGGGCCGGAGAAAGGCAGAGAAGAAAGCAGAGGCAAGACAAAGGGCCCAGTCCACCTTTGAAGCTGTCTCTAACCCGAGCCAGGGAGGGTGGGGTGGGTCTGAGAGCCGGGCTGGGGGGAGGCAGTCTAGAGTTTTAAAGAATGTCTCAAATTCCTGCGGAAATCAGAGGGATTGTAAGAGCTCCCCCTCCCCAACACACCTCCTTCTCAGCCCCCTGCCCCTGCCCCCCAAGTCCAGACCTCCACACCTGGGGGCCCCAACCCTTTGTCCTCAGGTAATTGCTGGGCGTTGCCTCTGTGTTTAAAATCCCATTGAACTCGCCAGTTATCAGCTGTGGCTCCGGACCACCCTCCCTACACCGCCCCCCTCCCAGAAAACGACCCCCAACACGTCTCCCGCAGTCTTCACCAGGATTAAGGCTCTTTGTGATTAGAAGGGGGGAGAGAAAAAAGCAACCTGGTGCAAAGCAATTATGACAAGCTGGAGGGAGAATGTCTGTCCTGGGGCCTGAGAGACCTCCCTCTTGGCTGTTGCCTTCTAAATTGCCCAGAGCTGGGGGCGTCAGACCTCTCTCTAGTCCTCACCAAAGGAGAGGCGGGGGGGGGACCCCTGGCCCCCACCGCCTTGGACGGCTGCTTCACTCACCTCCCATTATGACTAAACCAGGCTCCTCCATAATTGCCCATTCGGTCCTTATTTTTGGGCCATTTTTGGGAGAAGTGGGGAGAAGGGATGTCTCTCATCCTTTTCCCTCTCTCTCCGTAATATTTCCCTCCAACAATTTCCCAGAAAGAAGAGGAAGGAGAAACTGAGGCTGGGGGGGGGGTTCCATCAACGGAAGAGCTGGCTTGCGCGGGGAGACGTGCTGGAAGGGCCTCCCCCTCAACAAGATTACACGCCGACGAAAAGGAGGAAAGAGGCGGGTTTTATGGCTCTTAGTTCCACTCCCCTAAAGCACACCTGGAGGCGTCTGGGAAAGCCCACCCGAGAAGCTCCGGCTGGGGGTGGGAGCGCCCTCCCCCCTCCCTCCCGCCGCGGCCACCACTCCCCCCGGGGCCGCGCGGCCCAGCCCGCCGCCTCTAATTGCATCTTCCCCTCAGGTGTGGCCCCCGCCTCCGCCCCCCGCAGGGGCCTGGGGAACAAGGGGACGCATTCTCGCCCTCTCTCCCCCTTCCGCTCGGCTGAGCCCTCCTCCCCCATCCCCCCTCCTCACCGGAAAAAAGCAGTCTGGCTACCGGCGAAGAGGCTGCAGAGTCCGCGGGCCGCCCGGGCGCCGCGCCTGCCCGCTCCTCCGCGGGCGCTCGGGCCTGCTGCCCCGGCCCCGGCCGCTCGCCGGCCCTAGGGTTGGGTTTGGTTCGCCCCAACAGGTAGCACGGGACGCGCAGTGCCAGCCAGGAAACCGGAGCCTGCGCGGAGGGAGGGGCGCGCCCGCCGGTCCCGGCCTCGCGTGGGGCGGAGGTGCGGGGCCTTCCTGGGCCACCCACACCCCGCTTTCCCTCCAGGCGGCACTGCCCGCCGCCCCCCACGCGCGCGCGCGCGCTGCCCCTCCACCTGCTGGGCCACGCCCGGGCCGGGGCACTTGGCTTCCACGGCTTCCCCGGGCGCCTCCCCGAGAGACTTTGTTACCAATGCCGTTTGGTAGTGGATCCCTCCACCCCGCCTTTAGATAACCCGTTTGCAGGAAAATGGTTTTATTCTGGGGCTCGAAGTCGGGGATGGGGGTGCAGGCCTGGGTAGTGGAATGTGAAGAATGGCCAACCCTTTTTTTTTTTCTTTTTTCCTGAAATAAACACAAAAGTCCTTTCCTACAGTCTGGCCAGGAGGAAACTGGAGGCTGGGGGCAGACTGGAGAAGATTTGGGGAGAATTTAAAGAGAGCCAGCTCCAGACAGTGTCTGCAAGGCTTTGAACCTGCTGCCCTTTTTGCCTGTTTCAGGGAGCCTGAGTCCTGGGTAACACTACAGTTCCTCTCCTGGGGGTCTGCCATCCCTCCTCCCCCCTGGGGCCTATTCCATTGTTGGGTCTGGGGCAGCTGCCCTGCCGCCCCAGCCCTGCTATGTGGCAGTCCTGTCCCCTTTCTGGCTTGAGGCTCTGACGCTTGTAGTTCCTCAGGGTCCTTCCTCCTTGGGGGCTCTGACTCCCCTCCCTCCACCCCAGCCCAGTCTTGGGATTAGGAAGGGAAGGGGATGGGAAGGCTGGTGAGGGGCAGCTGCCCCCAGTGTCCCTGACTACGTCAGGGGCTGTGGCCTCCGAGTACGCTTGGTCCGGCGGGTGGGGGCTGAGCCCACAAACTCGAACTGCTTCTGCCTCTCAGCGTGGTTGGGGAAGGGCAACTGGCCCTGGTAGAGGCGCTTGATGAAGTGAGCCTCTCGCTGGTTCTGGCGGCTGCGGGAAGCCTGGCGGGGCCGACCCTGCCTGGTGAAGGCCATGAACCAGCCCTCGTGCCGGGCATTCTGGAAGGCTGTGTAGTTGTTCTCCAGCACGATCTCTGTGAACACGCAGTCTTTGCTCTTCCCACTGGGCTGCGGGGAGGAGGGAAGGAACAAGAGGAGGCGAGTTTGTCCACCCAACTTTCTGCCTTACTTGCCTTTGGGGCCTATTTTGTGGGACTGAGGAAGGAATGACAGGAGCCGTGTGCCCAAGGATTTCTGCCTGGTGAGAGGCAGAAGTGGGAGAAAGGAGCAAGTTTTGCTTGGAGTCAGGTCTGAACTTAAATACAGCCTGGTCATTTGGAAGTTGTACACCTTGAGCAAGGTATTTAGCCATGCAGAGCCTGTTTCCCAAGATGTGGCATAAAGATCAAGATTATTATGCAGTTCAGCGCATACCCAGTGGGCACTCTGTACACGAGCACACTCCTCAGTCTGGGCCAATGGTGCTGCTGGGTGGAGGAAAAGGAGTCTTTGATGAAAACAAGGGGCAAATGTTTACAGAATACCAGACTATGTCAGGAGCCACCCCACCACCCATTTGACCCAATAGATAACCTTGACACTATGCCCATTTTTATAGACAAGAAGCCTGAGGCTTAACCAAGGTAAGCAAATAGTTGGTGAGAACAGCCAGAACTGGAAGCCAGGATTGACAAATGTTAAGGGAAGTGGACTTCTCCTACCCAACAGTGCTGGAACTGCCCCTGCAGGGTGGTTACACTAGCAGGCAGTTAGTGTGCATCTTGCTAGTTGGATCCTGTGGACCCCACTGACCTTGGGGAAACTAGTGGCCTTGTATGAATGTCAACTCTCAACCCTGATCAGCGCAGCGCTTGAGCCTCAACATAGGGACTGCAATATCATGTAAGTGCTAAAATTCTGACTTCTTGATGTTGGGGAAATACCTCATAAATCAGAGCTGAAGATCCTTATGGGTCAGTAAGTGTCCTCAGAGGGCTTCTTGACCCCACAGGGACTCATTTAAATGGAGAAACCAGAGTGGCCTAGTGTTGGGGTGTGTGCGTAGTCAGTCATGGCTTGGGCCTAGTAGAGGGGAGTAGGGGGTGCTGTGGGGCATGCAGTAACATTGATTCCTTCATCCACTCCCCCTCCTTCCAGTTCTCACCTTCCCGATGAGCTTGCCCCTCTTGTTCATACAGATGTATTTCTCGCTCTCAGCACCCTTGATGCGCACACGGCTTCCAAACGTGTCTGTCTCCACTATGAGTTTGGCTATGATGGGGGGAGGGGGAGAAAGACCTCCGTCCATTGGGGTTGCCGGCTCAGGTATGGCAGGGGGCCCCCCCAACCAGCCTGACTTCCGCACTTGGGTGGGGGGGGCACCGAGAGGCCCTACTCCAAGAGGCTTCTCCCTGTTCTCCCACTGTGGCCCCTGCCCTGGCACAGGATCTGGGGACGGACCAGGTTAGGCCGGCCAGCAGTGTGAGTGGCCTCTGGTGAGGGCTGGGTCTCACCAAACTTGTTGCCGTCCTCCGCGGTGGCAGAGATGCGACGCCCGGTGACCTGCACGTGCTTGCCACTGGTCCGGCTGTAGAGCTGGTACTCACGGATCTGCCGCCTGCTCAGCTGGTCAGTCATGGCACCCTGGTCCCTCACGTACTGGTTAAAATTAGGAGACGGGTGATTCTCCCCCTTTGCGGTTACCAAGGGAAAAATAGTGTCAATTTGCTTTGGGTGACACCACCACTGGTCCATCCAAGGGAGAAGGGTGTGGAGGTGAGTGTGAGGGGGCCAGGCCATTTGTCCTGGGAAGCAGAGGTGCAGGGTGAAGGGTGCATATGGCCATGGTCTTTCCAGGCCAGCGGGTGAGCCAGTCATGACCTCTTGGCTCCCCATCTGCCCTGGAGCAGAGAACTGGTGGCCGCACAGGCTTGGGGGACCCTTGGTGATGCAGTGCAGATCTGGAATCATGACTCTGGTTGCTAGACAGAACCTTCACAGTGATGGTACCCAATTCCAATGTCAAAGAGGTGCCCTGGGTGACCCAGCTGATTAGAGACAGAAGTGCTGTCCTGCCTCTAGGACTGGAGCTTGTCCCTTCTCCAGAATGCCAGGGTCTTGGCTCCATTAGCCAGGATAACCAGATTTTTCCTTCATCCTCCCCACTGGCCTTGAAGGATCTTACCCCCAGGCACACACACATGCACAGGCATATACATACATGCGCATACAGAAGCTGGTCTGTTAGGCTTACCAGAGAGCATTATGGAGGCTCTAAGACCTTTTGTTTAGGCTCCTGTAATGCCCCTGTAAGCATTTCTTTTCAGTGCTAACTGTGGAATCCTGAGCTCCTGCCCATCTCCCCTGCCTTTGCCTCTGGGTGCTCAGGACCCTCAGAGAACCCCATCGCCCTTTTGGTCAGTGTTCCTCCCACCACTAGGGGTGAGGTGCCTCCTTAGCGAGGGAGATGGAGGCTGCAGCAGCGAGAGGAGCTATCAGTGGTGGCCCAGGCTCTCCTGTGAGCTGCCTGCCTGTGTCACAATGTAACAGAGGCTCGTGGCCAGTGGGGGCAATACTGTTGCCTGCCGGCTAACCAGGTTCTACCCATGCATGTTGCAAAGCCAGGACGATTACCTTCTTCTGGCCTGTCTCACCTATCTGCAACACTGAGTGGGAGAAAAACAGACCCCTTCCTGTCCTCTGTCTCCAGGAAGGTGCAAACCAGATGACATTTCTCAGCTGCTGGTGACAGCCTCAACCCTAGGCTAAAATGTTTCTCTCCCCACCCATATCCTACTGGCCTGTGCTGGAACAGACTTTCTGTACCCCAGATCCCTAAGGCCACCTTTATTCCAGGCCCCGTAGAAACCACCTAGACAGATCTCAACCCAGATCAGCATCTGTTAGGGGCCACTCTCTGGTAGAGGGAGGAGCAGGAAGGATCAGCTTTGAGGAAGGGGGCGGTGAGGGAGCAGCTACAGGCTGACCCTGTAACCTGCTCAGGGTTAACCCTTCATGTGTGTCACTGCTCATTTCCAACTCCAGCTAGGCCACAGGCCAGGAGTGCCACCAGGAGCACCCCCCCCCCCCCATTGCCTATGAGAGCAGGGTCTGGAAACTCAAAGCAGCCAAGTGCACCCTGCACCCCACCCCAGAAAAACCTGAGGCCAGCATTTGGGGTGAGGGCCTGCCTTCCTGCCAGGGGGTGGGGTCTGGCTGGGCCAGGACCCTCGGTGGGGTCCAGCCTATCCCCAGCCCCCATCTCCTGGCCCAGGTTCAGGCCCTCCGCCCCTCTTGGCGGGCAGCCTCCTTCTGGCTGTCTGTTCCAGGTCAGGAGCAGAGAGGCCCCCCTGAAGCCCCCTCCTCTCCTTGTCCCCCTTCAGGCCCTGCACAAAAGCAGCCCCACGCCCCCCCCCACAGCCCACAACCCACAAGTCGCTCTCCCCGCGGGACCTGGCCTGTCCCTTTCATGTTCCCGCTGCGGGGGGACCTCCCCTTCCACTGCTGCAGACAGCTGCTTGTCAGACGGCCCCTCAAGCATGGCTATGGTCCGGCCTGCCGGCCCCCCCTCCAAGGGGGGCGAGGGGGCACTTCAAGGGGGAAAGGACAGCTTTGCCACCTTCCCTGAGTCCTGAATGGGGCCTCAGCCAGGCCATAAACGCCCCGGCCAGCCTCACCATTGTGCTAATTCCCCTTCCAGAACAGGTTGGGCCCACCCCCAGCCCCCTCCCGGCCAGGCTGGGGGCTTTCTTGTTGCTCTCCCTGGATGTGTGAAGCAAAAGGCCTGGAACGGGGGCTAGAGCAAAAGGGGGAAGGAAAAGGGGGGGAGTTGTCTCTCTCTCTCTCCCACCCCCCCACTGCTTCAAAGGCAGCCCCTTTCCCTCTCCCAGAGAAAAGGCATTTACCTTCAAAAAAAGTCCCCACTGGATATGAAGAGAAGCGGGCCTCTGGCCTGGGAAAGCCAAGCGATCTCTCCCCAGAGCGGTTCTGGACCAGTGCATTTTAATAGCTGCACTTTTATGGAGGATCACAAAAAGGGACCGAGCCTCGCACAGGGGGCTGAGGCTTGGGGTGGGGGTGTGCATGGGGGGACTAACATGGGGTGGGGGGAGTGTGGAGATGCAAACCCTGAATCTTGTCCCAAACAAACCCCTTGGGGCTTGACCTTATTGCCCTGTAGGTAAGGAGTCACCCCGCCCTGACTGGGGCTATCCCCCAGGACAGTGATTCCCCAGGACATCTGGGGTGGTGAGAGTGGGGTAGTAAGTGGAATACACAACTGGTTTTGCATGAAAACCTGTCTTTTCAGGTACCTCCAAGTACAAGCCTCACCTGAGTCATCACCTCAGCCCTCTTCCTACCACTCCAGACTCCATCCCTCAAGACTGGGTTGCCCCATGCATTTAGCCTTGAGGGGAACACTTGAGGAGAGCCGGATGGAGAGAAAAGCAGAGACCTCAGGACATGGAGAGAGGGTCATGGAGGGAAGACAGATAAAGACCTTAGTCAATCCCCAAATCTGCCATAGCCCCTTCTATACACCTCCAGAGGCTGACACCAGCCCCCACCCTCAAAAACCTTCTGGATCCAGGGAGAGGCCAGAACCTGCCTCTGTCCACCGAAAGGAAGCTACCCCCCCCCCCAGTTGGGTGGGGTGGGAGAGATGGAGAAAAGCTAGTGGGGGGCGCCCGCCTACCTGAGTTTGACAGCAGAGAATCAGTAGCTGCAAGCACCTGTGTGAGAAGACAAGGCAGACCTTGGTGTGGGTGCCAGTAGCCAACCCAGGGTGAGAAGGCAGAGCCCCCCCGCCCCTCCCTGCCCCTCCGTGTGGGATTCCCGGTAAGATTAGGTCTGCCCCAGGCTGCAAATGGCAACAAAACTTCAGTTCAGAGAGGCAGCGCACTTACAGAGTGAGGTTGGGCAGCAGGCGGGTGGCTCCCATCGCCGGAGAGATTTCTTGGGGCGGTTGCCCTCCTGCCCCCAAACTCAGGAGCAGATATGGGCAGTCCCCAGGGGTAGAGTCCCAGAGAAGCCAAGGTCTCTTCAAGCCACAGGTTTTCAGGGGGGAGAGGAGGAGAGAAAGGGGAGGAGGAGGAGGAGAGAGAAGGGAGGGGAGAAGGAATGGGGGAGGAGGGCGTAATTGGGAGACTGAGGTGTGAGGTGTCCACCTTCCTGGCCAGTGAGACAGCAAAGCAGCCGCTGGCTGGCGGGGTCTGCCAGCCTCTTGCTGGGCTACCCGAGCACAGAGGATGGAGCTGTGGAGCCTTCTTGATAAGGAGGCTGGCCCCTGTAGTCTCCCACGTTTTTCGTGACCCTCAGACCTGGACTAGAGGGTCCCTCCTCCTCTCCCAGGGTCAGCTCCTCCTGCCCTCAGGTTTGGTGCCCCACCTCCCCAAGGGTGAGCGCAGGTATCATTCCGGGCCAGGGGTTGCTGAGTCTGGCTCCGGGGGTGGAAATTCCCAGAAGCAGCCTTAAAAGGAGGAGCCTCCCTCCAGGGGGCAGGCGGTGGGCTTGGCTAGGAGCGGTTGCTTCCCCTGCCTCTGTCACCCCTTGCTCCCCCTCTCTGCTGTCTGGCCACCGGGATGGAGGTGTTAGGGCTGTCCCAATGGCAGCAAATAGTGGGTGCCGCAGGTTGGGGGTCAGGGAGGGGCAGGAAGGTGCAGCTGTGGGAGGAGGACGCGATGGGATCTTGAGAGCTGGCCTGACATCCGGGAAAAGACAGACTCAGAGGAGCTGGTGCACTGGCACAAGCTACTTTCCTCTGGGCCTCGGCAGTTTTGCCTGAGAGATGGGGGCAGTAGTGCCTCAGGATGCCAGCAGACCAAAGGAGATAACTGGGCTTAGCAGACGTCAAGTGTGTCATATGTTCTGGGCCTCACTCACCCTCCTCTCTGGGGCAGCAGCCATCCCTAGGGCCTCCTCCCTCCCTGTGCCCACCAACCTCTTCACATGGCCTCTGGTCCCACCCTGCTCTGTACTGTGCAGGTAGGACCCCATTCTAGGACCCCTGTGCAGAGGACACTAAAGCACATGGGGCAGGGATTGGGGGGGGGGGCATGGGGGGTAGTTAGCTCAGAATGGCCCAGCCAGTGAATGGCAGAACTAGGTTCCTAAGGTCCACATGGATCGTGTCTGGAGCCTTGCCACTGTGTCCATGCCCTCCGGGCTGCAGTACCTAAGGTCCCAGAAGCTAGGTGACCAGGGACTCTAATGGTTCCTTCCCTACAGAAGGTGGGTGATGGTGGCTGTGGAAGGGGGCATGTGCTTAGAGGGATCTCTGAGGGAAGTCTTCTGTGTAGGGAGTGGAGCTCCCTCAGCTCTGGGCTCCCTGCAGGTCTCAGTGCCTCCAGGATGGAAAGAGAAAGGGAAATGCTGGATGTGGAGGTATTTACCTAAAGAGATGAGCAGGAGGGCGAAACTCTCACCTCCAAGTCTCCTCACCTTCCAGAGCTAGATCAATCCACAAAGTTGTCTGCCACCCCTCCCCCTTCCCCCCTCCCCCAGACAAGCCCCAAGGCTACCTCCTGGCCACCTCCAGCTTTTGGGCTCCTAGCCCCACCCCCCACCCCTCAGGCCTCTGGGACTCAAGGCCCTGCTGAACCTGAGCTTGTCTGGAGAGTGCAGGGGTAGCTCCCTGTAACTGGCAGAGTCCAGGCTTGGAATCAAATAGAAGGGATGTCAAAACTGGAAGGGGTCTTAGAGATTCTTCATCTGGTCCAGCCTCCTCACTCACTGATGAGGCCCAGCGAGGGTCTCACAGCTAGTTAGTCAGTGGCACAACTCAGACAAGGTGCCAGGTGCCCAGACTCCCAATCCAGTGCTCGTCATTGTCCGAGCATGCCCTAGACCGTCCCACAGCTCTGCTTTGCTCAGGCTGATGCTCCTGATCGTTTCCATCTTCCATATTTGCTCTGTTTGGGGTCTTGATTTGAACTCTGCCTCTTCTGCGGAAATCCCCAAATCTACTTCTGGAACTGGTGCTGGCTCTGGCTCTATTCTTGGTGGGCCTTTGACCTCACCCACATCTCCACCAACAACTAGCTCCCAGGTGGGGTACTAAAGGCTACCTCCTCCCACTTTCAGTCCTGGGATGACAGGTAAGAGCAGATGCATGAAGGAGATAGCTCAGGCTTGAGGTTCTGGGGTGGATGGGTGAGCTGGGGGGTGGAATGAAATAAGGAGGCAGATGCGGGAGCCCCATCTAGTGAGGTCTGGACTCCAGGCCTCTGAGCCTGAGTGCCTGGTTCCTATCAGTGGGGGAGGGGCCTGTTGTCAGTGGCCAGCCCCCCAGCCAGGCCTGGGTCTCCATGGTAACAGATGCCAGCAGTCAAGCTTGGCCTTGGGGCTCAGCCAGGGGCTGGTGCCAGGGGCCTCTGGGGCATGGCTGGATAGCCTGTTTCATGGTGTGACATCTGCTCCTTGTCCCTTCCCATTGTGCACCTGCAGGCCTGCCTTTCTGACTCAGCTTGTGCTTTTATCCCCATGGGAAGGCCAGTGCTGGGCTCCAAGAGGGGAGGCAGCATGAAGAGTGTTCCATGGATTTTATCCCTGTTCCCTGGCCTCTACGACCTATGGCAAGTCCCTTCACTTTTCCGGTCTCAGCTTCCTAATTTGTAAAAAGGAAATGGCTATTATCACTGCTGTCAAAATTGCCACCATGAGTATCAACTGAGATGGACACTCCATGAAAAGTATCAAGTGCCACAAGAATGGAAACGAGGGGCATAGACCTTCTTATATGGTCCAGACTCGGTTGACCTAAACTTTGACTCCCTTGACTAGAGGAGAGGGAGGGAGAATAGCAGGGTTCATTAACATTTATAGGGGGAGGTGGCAGGAGGTGATAAAGGAAGTGAGAAGTAGCCTGGGCTGGTTGGTTAATCCCCACCCCCTAGTGCCAAGTTCAACACCCCCCAACTGAGGCGTCTCACGCCTGCTCCTTCTAACAGCCCAGCTGGTGCAGACACTGAGCCCACCTGCAGACCTGCCACTTGTCACCACCTGCTCCAAACCCCAGCCCACCATTTTCCTGTTGGAAAGCAGAAGGGCTGGGGCTGGGGCTGGGGCAGGGCAAAAGGCAAATGGACTCTTAAAATTTGGAGCACCTACCATCCTTGCTGTTTGATCCCCATTGCCTGCCAGCATTTGGACATCAAGTCAGGAACGGCTTAGCTGTTGCGTGCCCTTATGTACAGAGCTGTGGCTGAGCTAGGCTGCTGGGGCACTTGCCTGGGTGAGATGAAGGGAAGAAGTATCTGTGTGCATCTGTGCTTTGCTATAACTGGCTGGGGGCTGCCCCTCCCAAGGTGCGGGTTACACCGTGGACCTTATTCTTAACTATTATTTTCAGTTTATGAGACTTTGTAGGACTCTGGCTGCTGTGCTGTCCGTCTCTCTCAGTCATTTCAGAGTGGTTCAAGATAAGAGCCGTGGGTCCAGACAACCTGGTGGTGAACCCTGCCTCCTCCACTAGCTCTGTGGCCTTGGGGGCAAGTTGTTTCACCTCTCTGTGCCTCGTTTTCCAGGTCTGAGAAATGGGGCTTTATGGAGTGAGTCCCAGAAGGCGCTCAGCACCTAGCTTCCAGCATGTTATTACCAAAATCCTGCTAATCCTCTCTCTTTCTGCTTGCTCTGCCTGAGGCCCATTGCATTGCTCGGTTCCTGCTCCTGGGAGTGTCCTTCTGCCAGCTACTCATGGAGACTGCCACCCTCTTCTTGTCAGTCTTCTCCTTTGAGGGACTTTCTCTGATCTCCTAATAGGCTAATTCCAGGCTGGAGAAGTGCTGTCTCACTTCCTCCAAAGCACTTGACAGTAACTGAAATTTTGCTGTTGGCTTTTGTGTTTCCACTAGACTGTAGGTGGCTTGAAGGTGAAGAATTTGTCTTGTTTACCCTGTGTCACTGTGGCATGAGGCCATGGTAAATGGTCGCTGCCCACCTGGAGCCTGATGTGAACCCATGTGCCTTGTCGCTCTCTGGGTGACCTGAGGTCAGTGGCTCATTCTCATTTGCTCGAGGGTGGGACGGTGCCCACATCTGTCTCCTGGGATGTAGAAAGCAAGCAGCAAGAATGCTTAGCTACCGTCCTCAGTCTCTTCTGGCATTAAAAGAAACTGAAGCTGAACAGGAACATGCAAGCCTGGTTGCTGACCTTCCCGTGCAGGCATTCAAAGACCTCCAACCTTCTGGGACCCATGCCTAGGGATCCTGGAGAGAGGACAGGGCCATTTCCCCATTGGCCCACTTTAGGTTTGGCCAGTGGGGGTGTAGAGGAGGGCCAGGGAGAAGCCAGCCCAGTGGAGGCCCTGTAACTATAACCCCCAGTGGGAGGCTATCTGTGTGTCACAATGGGTGAGCCAGGCTCCAAAGTGGCTGTGCAGGCCTGGGAGAGGGCAGGAGCCCAGAGCCACCCAATGGGTCATTCGTCCCCTTGCCAATCCCCTATTGCCTTACCCTAACAATTTGTTGAGCCCTGTTCCCATGGCTCCGAGAATTGCCCTGGGTGAACCCTCGCATGAGAGTTAAAAGTGTTTACCTGTCCACCTCCTGTAAGAGACCCTCAATAGCTTCTGCAAAGCCTGCCTCATCTGCCCTGTCTGGGAGGGCTTCCTTGAAGGTCCAGGCCTCTGGGCTCCTGCTTGACACAGATCTTCACACAAATGAACAGGAGCTCACCCTGAACAGGAGAGGCAAGCCTGGGAGAGCAGCATTAGCATTGAACTTCCGAGGTTCCAATAGATGTCCTGGTCTGTGCATTTGATAATGAACACGTGATTAGGGCCAGGAGAGAAGATCCCCAGGCTAGTCTGACAGGGACTAAGGTCCTTCCCAGCGGGGGGCAGGCAGCTCTAGCCTTCTGACTCTCTACCTGGAAAACCAGCCAGAAGGGAGTGTGGACACAGGAAGACCCACAATGTCTGGAGCTCCCTCCCTCAGGACAAGGGCACAAAGTTGAAGCTGTGCAGGGAGTTGAGACCCTTGGCTTTTTGTCCCAAAGCTGGGGGGGTTGGAATGGGTGGGAGTTTGAGGACATGAGAGGGAGATGAAAGAACAGAACAGAGCCCAGCTGGCTGGCTGGGTGCCTCAGCCTCAGTCCAGGTGGCGGGCCAGCCACCAGGTAGGGGTGTGCTGGCACATGGCCTCCCTCTGCTGGGCACACGGGCTCACTGCAGCCAGCAATAAGGACAGGCCCTCTGGAACAGATGGCAGAAACAAGGTCCCGGCAAAGCAAACTTTATTGGGGCTCTGAGGTCAGGGTTCTTCCCTCCAGGTCCTGCCGAAACTTGATAGTTGGAGTGTGGGCCCCTTGTGTTGCCCCCAACAGCTCCGTCACATTCAGACTCAGAGGGAGAGAGGCTGGGTGGGGGGAACATGGGGTTGCAGCACACCCGCAGGAAGGCCACTCTGTATGGTGTTCTAGCTGGCTCTCTCTCCGTCACTGCAGCCAGGCCACTCCTGGCTCCTCATTTCTTGGATCCTGGCTTTTTAGGTTTGAGTGTGGGTTTGGCCTATGGAGAGAAGGGAGGGCACCAGAGTCCCACTCCCTCCCTCTGCCCCCAGGAGGACCAGCCCCTTCTCCTGGTACTCACCTTTTTCACAGGACTCTTGTCTTTAAGGCTGGGTCTGGAATAGGGTGGGGAGGCCAGGAGAAGGGATGAGGGTGAGAAAGAGAGAGAGCTCAGCAGGACACCAGTAGCCCAGAACCTCCTAATGCCTACACTGCAATGCAGGGCCCTGGCCACTTCCAGGAAAGCCAGGGGCTGTGATATGGAGAGCTGGGAGGCTGCAGAATTCACCTCTCCACCCCGTCACCTGCTGGGACCATCCTGACTCTCTCTTATTTTAACAAGAGGTGTTTTCTTGTTAGACTTCCACCTGCTTTCTTTTATTTATCACAAATAGGTCTCTTACATTATAAAAGTAACATTTAACTACATTGCACAAAATATAGCAAATAGAAATCACTTGTTTCTTTACCTCCCACCGGAATTAACATTTTGATGTGTTTCCTTGCAGGACTTTTTGCTTTTTCTTCTAAAAACATGTGAAATAACATGAAAATGATTTAAGACCCTGTTCTTTTTAAATTCTGCAAACACTTTCCAGGATGCTATATTCTTCATAGGCATTATGTCACATTCTACTGGGAAAATGTGACCCAGCTTAATCTACTATATTGGTAGACACTTAGAATGCTTCCATTTTTCACTATTACTTGAATAATGCAGGGATCAGTTTCTTAGTGCATATGATTTTACCTGTATTTTGGATGGGGTCCTTGGGAAGGGGTTACCATGAGTGGAATTAGGTCAGAAGATAAGAATACTTTGATGCCTTCCAAAAAAGGCTGTGCCGGCCATCAGAGACAGCACATCTGTGTGGTCACAAACATGCACACACGCCAGACCCTTTCTAACCCTATAGGCTTCAGCTGTAAGATTTTGGCCACGTTAACAGATGGAAAGAGTTACCTCACTGCCTCCTCTTCTTTTTCCACCTTTTTTTTCTGGGAAGCAAACACAAGCAGCATGGGGACAGTTAGGGCAGGGTCCAGGGCCAGCAGACTCCTGCTGGGCACCTGGCAGGACCCCAGGCCTCTGTACACTCACACTCAACTCGGGAGGCCTGGCCCAGGTTTCTGAGGATCCTGTGTGGGGGGGTGTCCCTTCCCTCACCTTGGCAACACCTGTCTGCTTCTGGGATGCTAGCCTCTTGACTTGTTTAAGAGGGGTCTCCTCCTCTAGGGACACATCTACATCAACATCATCATCGTCATCATCATCATCATCGCTGTCATCTTCCTCCTCTTCCTCCTCCTCCAGGTCCTCCTCCTCCTCCTCCCAGGACAGGTCTGAAGTGTCTGTGAGGGTATGGAAAGGGAGCAGGGATGCTGAGCTCCAGGTCTCGGCCTAGCTCCTGTTCCACGATCAGTCTTGCTCTCAGAGCTGCCCTGGGGAAGCCAACACCTGCCACTTCCTAGAGACCCTTTCTGGCCTGACAAAGTAGAAGCTCAGATGGAGTGAGGGGTCCGGGACCCCAGAAAGCTGGGGTGGTAGAGGAGGGCAGGTGAGGTGGTAAGCTGTGGCTCTGGCTGGGAAGGATTCAGAGGAGGGTGAGGGTGGGCAGAGAGCACAAGGGAAGGGAGGAAATGGAAACAGCAGCTAAGGAATTTAGACCTCATCCTAAGGGAAGTGGAGCCTGCCAGGGTTTTTGAGTAACTGTACCCTGATACAGAGGCACAACTGGGCTGAGAAGGATATGAGAAGAGTCAATAGCACAGTGATTTGATAGAGCCTATATCGCTCCTCCAGCTACATACCTCATAGCACCTAACATTTTACATGTGGGCTAGTACTAGCTATCATGCAAACTGCTTCTCCCTGAGTATCCCATTTATTCCTCACAGTGGCTCTTTGAAGATGAAACCAAGTCTACACCTACCCTCATGGTACAGGCAAGAGGACTGCAGCCCACAGAGGACATGGCGGGGAGGTAAAGGAGAACTTCCATTCCAGGCTACCGGCCATCACGTTGCCTTTGGAGATTTTCTCTAGTAATTCAAGAATCCATCCAGCGTTTGAATACCTATTCCCTTGGCCCTGTGCTAGGCACTATAGTCAGACCCACCTCAGGTCCAAGCTCCAACTTACCATAACATTCCTGGCCACTGAGGAACACGGGTCCAGAGCCAGCCCGGAGCTGGAAAGTGACTGGAGGAGAAAGCTCCAATCCCATCATGACCTGCAGAAGGAGGGATGTAGGGAAAGGAGCAGAAAAGATGGGCTCACTCAGGCCTGGCACCTGTCTGGGGGATGGTGTCTAATAGAAACGTTCAGAATTTATTCCCCAAACCCCAACTACACACACTTCACAGGTTCTCTGGACCTCATTGTGTTATCAAGCCCTTGGCCCTTTCTGTTGAGGTGGATTCAAACGGAAGACTGTGAATCTGATAATCCCATTCTTGTTAAAGATCACAGACAGGCTTCTAAGCTGAGGGGCAGCTGTTAGAGAAGTCTGATGGCTACAGCTTAAATTGTGTCCCCCACATTCTTTTTTTTTTTTTTTAACATTTTTTAATGTTTATTTTTGAGAGAGAGAGAGAGAGAGAGAGAGAGAGAGAGAAAACGTATGGGGAAGAGAGAGATGGAAACACAGATTCTGAAGCAGGCTCCAGGCTTTGAGTTGTCAGCACAGAGCTCAATGGTGGGGCTCAAACCCATAAGCCGTGAGATCATGACCTGAGCCGAAAGTCACATGCTTAACTGAGCCATCCATGTGCCCCTGCCGAATTCTTATGTGAAGCCCTAACCTCCAATGTGATAGTATCTGGAGATGAGGCCTTTGGGAGGTAATTAGGGTTAGATGAGGTCATGAGAGCTGGGCCCTCATGATGGGACTGGTGCCCTTATAAAGGAGACCAGAGATTTCTGTCTCTGTCTCTCTGCTGTGTGAGGACACAGAGAACAGGCAGCCATCTGCAAGCTAGGAAGATGATCCTACCCAAATCTGACCACACTGGCACCCTGGTCTCAGACTTTCAGCCTCTACAACTATGACAAGATAGATGCACATTAAGTCCTTCACTCTCTGGTACTTTGTTATGGTGGCCCAACCCGAATAAGACACTAATCAAATGAGAAGAGCAGATGCAAAGTTGTATGTACAGTACTACTTTTGTTTTACACGTGTGGATATACATATGAATAAAGTTAGAATTCTATTAAGTGTGAACCCTAATTTTCAGTGGACAGTACGGTGTTTCTTTTCTTGATACCCTTCCAAACTTTCCACATTTTCTGTTGTATCAGTGATGATACTCAGATTTATTGACTTCCTACCGTGTGCCAGGCCCTATGCTAAGCATTTCACCTGCTTTCCTCTTTTAACCCCTCACAACAAGCCCACAACGGAGGGGCCGTTCCTTTACAGAGGAGGGAACTGAGGCTTAGGGATATTAATTTAGAGTTTCTGGCTAAGACAGGAAGGAGACAAGCAAAAACTGAAACTCTGTAGCCACCAATGCCTAGAAATGCTGGATAAAATGTATTCCGATGTTTTCACTGTTTGGTTGAACAGGACAGAAGGAAGAGGCCCCGTGCACCAGAAGGGAGGGCAGCCCGCACAAGCACCGGTGCTGTAGCTGCTGAAGGGAAAATGTGCCCGAAAACAGCCTCGGCCTTGGGTTTTAACACGTGCTCATGGACAGGAGACAGGCCTGGGCTCCAGAGAGGCGTGTGGTCACTGGGCCCACTGAATGGGGCTGGGGTCCTCCACGGGTGCACCTCAGGAAGAAGCTCCAGGGTCAGGGGCGAGGACGGGGGACGGAAGAATCCTAAACCCACCCACCAGGAACTCCTCTCCACTGAAGGAAGGGAATAAGGAAATGCATGTGGGATAAAAGAAGTCTCCTGTGAGAACTTAAAAACCCATGGCTGTACCTGCCACTCACACCAAGCTTGAATTCACTTGGTGGGCACTGCGAAGCCAACAGACCCGTATAAGATCCCAGGCTGGTGACTCCTGGGGCCAACAGCAGGCACAAGCACAAAACCAATCCCTTGGGGTGCTGTCAATTTTCCTCACACAGAATTCTCTTGGAGAAAACAGTGGAACCACGAAGACACCTCACCGTGTAAAGTGACAAAATGTCCAAGGCACGGTCCTGCTAGAGTGAGCGGAAGGAAACGAGACGACTGTAGACCGATGCAGCCAAGAGCCAGAGAGAAAAGAACAACAGTCTAGCAGTTATGACGTTAGGTTGATGAAAGTCAAATAAACATAGAAGTAGGAATCAGAAGCATAACAACAAGGTATTATGAGAAATAACAAGAACCAAATGCAGCTTCTAGACTGAACAAATGAATTAAAAAGAATACACCAGCTAAAGCAAGTATCAGTAAACTGGAACCATGCTGTGAAGAAACGACCCGGTACATAGCACAGAGACAAGAGGAACGAAATATGAAAGAGAGGCTGAGAGATACAGAGGACAGATGAGATCTAAGATGCATCTAATCACAGTAAGGGACTAGAAACAACACAATGTGCAAAGTGATAACCAAGAGCTTCTAGAAACAACCAAAGACACAGATCCTCATGTCCAGGAAACCTAGGTCCTGAATAGATAAATAAAAGTAAATGTACATCTGAACATCCCATAGTGAAATGGTATATACCAAAAACAAAGAGGCTATCTTAAAATAAACCAGAGAGGAAAGACAGATGTCCAGAAAAGGAACAATAGGCAGACAGACTGAGGGTTTCAACAGTAACGTCAGAAACCAGAAGACTAGAATGGCGTCTTCAACGTTTTGAGGGAAAGTACCTCTCTGTGTAGAATTATACAGAACCAAACTACCATGAAGGAATGAGGGTAAAATAAAGACATTTCCAGGCAGAGCCCAAGTAAGTTCGCTCCTCCCAGACCTATTAAATGAGGTCTCAAAAAGCTGACAATCGAATTGAGAAGGAAGAAGTGGATATGAGCAGCAGTGGTGAGCAAGCAACTTGGTCAACTAAGACAAATCCAAGTCAGCATTATTGTAAAATAAAATAGTACTAGTAATGACTAGTATTGAGTGGGTTTAAAACAAGTTGAAGCTAAAACACTACATGATAACAACAGGTCGGTTAAGAAAAGGGTGCTCAGGAAAGTTCCGTGGATTGTCTGGGAGAGAGAAATATAGCATTAATTTTAAACTGGTCATGCATGATTGTTAAAAAACTAAGGATAACTACGCTAAAAAGTAGAGTGAGACTCTACAGTTCCAAACCAGTAGAAAGGAAAAGGGGGAAAGAAACCTTAATGTAATAAAAGAGGAAAAAGGAAAAAGGAAAAAGAGGAAAAAATGAAAAAAAAAAAAAACAATGAACATAGAAGCACAAAGTATATATTACAAATAAATCCAAGTATGATAGCATCACAGTAAACATAAACAGATATTATTGGCCAGATAGATTAAAACAAAGTTTAGCTACTTACTGCTTTTATAAGATACATGCCTAAAATGTGAGCACATACAAATGTTGAAGATATGGAGACATATTTACCAGATGTGGCAGAGGCTTCTCATTGCTTATCCAATATCCATTCTTCCCTTTTCCCATAATATCAGCGCCCTAATATTGTACCCACCATAGACCGTATTTGCCAGTTTCCTGTGCAGTTGGCAGTGACCACAATACTAATTTCTGCACCAGTGAGTTGCAAGCAGAATTTGGTGGGTGGTGCTTGTGTGAAGACACCTTAAGAGGTATACAGAGAAGTGAGAAAAAAAATTAAATCAATAATGTAAGATTCTGCCTTACAAAACTAGAAAAAGAGCAAATTAAAACCCACACAGACAGAAGAAAGGAAATAAAGAACAGAGGTCAATAAAATACAAAAGTGGGTAAACAATAGAGAAAAGTTGAGACCAAAAGCTGGTTCTTGAAAAAGATGGATAAAAATATTAAACCTCTAACCAGACTGCACAAAGGGGAAGATGACACAAATTATCAATATCAGGAATAAGACAGCAGAGTTTACTACATATTTTACAGGAGAGGAAGAAAGGAAATATTATGGACAACCCTATGCCAATGAATTTGACAATGTGGACAAAATGGAAAAACTCCTTGAAAGACATAAACAAAGCTCTCTTAAGAAAAACAACCCAAACTGTCCTAAATCTATTAAAGAAATTTAACTTGTAGTTAACCAGATTGCTTCACATGAATTCTATCAAAACATTTAAGAAAAAAATACCAAAGTTACACAAACTGTTTCAGAAAACAGAAAAGGAGAGAATACTTTCCTTCTCATTTTATGAGGCCAGCATGACCCTAATACTAAAACCAGATAAAAACATGACAAGAAACGTACAGTCCAATGTTGTTCATAAATATAGACACAAATATTTTTTAAAAATATATTATTTTTAAGTAATCTCTACACCCAGTGTGGAGCTCAAATTTACAACCCTGAGATTAAGAGCCACACGCTCCCCTGACTGAGCCAGCCAGGTGCCCCAAAACAAATATCCTTAATAAAATATTAGCAAATGGAATCCAGTAATATATAAAAGGATAATATATCATGATCAAATGGGGCTTACCCCAAGAATGTACAATGGGTTTAAAATTTGATGGGGTGCCTAGCTGGCTCAGTTGGTAGAGCATGACATTCTTAATCTCAGGGTCATGAGTGTCAGCCCCACTTTAAGTGTGGAGCCTACCTAAAATAAAAAAACTAAAAGTTAATAAAAATAAAATTTGAAAACAAATCAATAAATGTAATTTGCCACTTAATAAAGGAGGCCAAAAAAAAAAACCCTCAATAGATGCAGAAAAGAATTCTTGGACAAAACTCAACAGCATCTCAATAAATTAGAACCAGAAGGGAATATCCTCATCCTCATATAGGATATCTGTACGAAAATCCTTCACGTGTCTTAATGGTAGAAGGCTGAACACTGGTAGAAGAGAAAAAGGCAAGGACAGACATGCTGTCACCACTTTTATTTGACATTATATTTGAGGTCCTAGTCAGTGAAGGAAGACAAGAAAAAAGAATGCAAGAAGTTGAACTGACTTTATTCACAGATGACATGAATAAATCCATAAGGAATCAACAAAAAGCTGCTAGGATTTCTATGCAAGTTTTGCAAGGTCAAATAATAGCAAAAAAAACCCCCAACACAATTATGTAACTATATACTACTACTGAACAATGATAAAATGAAATTTAAAAATACATT